AATTCCAAAACCCACACGCACTTTAGTTTGAATGAACCAAACATCCACCAACTTATTTGTATGATTTAGAGAAATATGGAGTTTGATTACATCTTTTTGGGAACCATCATTCATATTTGGCATTGAATGTTGTGTTAGTTTACCAATTATTTTATGATCCTAATAATTAATCATATTTCTCATCATATTAACTTATATCTTTGAATTATTATGATATGCTCGTCCCAACATTAGATTCAAAGTAATCATTAATTGATTTATCATTATAAAAAAATATGAATCCTTGTAATCACCTTAACATCTAAGAATTTGCTCCATGCAATTAAGTTGAATTTTCATCTCATGTACACTAACATTGTAGTCTTCTATAAATATTATTATTATTTTAAATAATGTGATATAAATATATAAATTCAATATCAATAAAAATAGAATTTTAAAAATTGACAAGAAAAAATATAGAACTTTCAATGATTGATTATTTATATATACTAGTATAAATGCACGTGCACATGGTACAGGTTAATAAAAAATTTTAAAATAAAAAATGATATAATAAATTTTACTATAAATTTATGACATACAATATCAATGATCATTTTGTGAAACTCAAACAGTACTATATCAACATCCAAATAGACGATCCCATTAAATCATTTACAAAAACCAACTATACAACTTATTAATTGTGGCAAGACAAGAAAGCATCTGAAATGAATTTTGAATTTCTATTGGAAATCTAATTAAGGTTGGAGGTGAGAAGGCAAAATGTACTCTCCGATGTATGTGATGAAGAAATCCATCTTCATCTTTCTTTCCTTCATATATTTTGACATAACAAAATCAGGAAAAATCATATAAAATAAATAAACAATAAAACAAAAATGCATTGATACCTTTAAACTAAAACAAACTTAAAATTTCTTATAGAGGAAGTCAAAAATCTGTTGATGGAAGCACATTATTGACAAATATAAAAATGGCCTTCTCTGCACTAAATTTGATTCTCATATGAATCACGTAAACAAATTGCCCTATTGTTAGGTTTGCAGGATCAAAATATCAGCATATCAAATAGGAAACATTGTTTGGTTAAATTAACATATTTTAAAGAAAAAAATTAGGATGTCTTGGATTTATGGAGATATTAATAATATACATGAGCTCCACAAATATCGATGTAAATCTAAAAGTTTGACAACTCATCCTCATGCAAACTCCATCACAATGCCCTAACATTTTTTTTATTGATTTCGAATTAGTAACTAATCAGTACAATAAGAATAATTATCATATATACATATTATAGGCTTTAATCCACTCCAATAGAATTGCAAGACATCAACAAGGAAGTCAAACTTATATAAATGATTTGATGCTTCTCAAGAAAAAAAAAAGAAAAAAAAAATTGCTATATTTTAATTTATACATTCCCACAAGAGGAAAAATCTCAACTTTTTTGGCATTTGATAAATTGATTAGAAGCTAATAGCATGTAACATATTTAAGGACATGCAAATATAAAAGATTTGTGGTTTTCATTCATAACTATACAAGATCATGGATAGAACAATCATGTTATTTAGCAACTTTTGTTTTTATAAGAATATATGCATGTTGTACTCTGTTACACAAGCATTTTTGCAATTTTGTAAATAATTGATGCGCGAAATTAAAAAAAAAACATTGAAAAGATCTAAAGCCCATTGATTGGTGGTGAAGATTTGTAAATGCAATTTACTCTCACTATTCCCAATAAAAATAGAAATCCAAAAACACGTTAATGAGCACAATAAGGACTTCTTTTCAATGTTTGTTATTTCAGTTCTCTCAGCCTTCTCCACAATTACCTTTAGAATTAAACATAATTCAATACAGCCACCACATAATCATGTATATTAGAAACCATAAACCCTTCAAAGAAAATACAACCAAACAATGCAAGCAACAACCTCATCAATGAGGATAGAGATAAATTAGGAGCAAAGAACCGAGTCAATCAAGCCTCATAATCCAATTAACATATTGAAGTAACAGTTGATCACAAATGCAAAATGATGCATGTTAACAACAAACAATATATATAACCACTTTAAAATAGATATTGGTTTCCTTCATAGTTTTCAAGATTACTCTTCAGATTATTTTGTTCGTGCCAAACACAATCAATTAATAAACATAATAATAAACCTCAAATGAATTATAACGAATGGTAATGCCTTTCAATACATATAATTACTTATAAAGAAACAAATAAAAGTTTTCTTCATCTAAACAAACAATATATCAATAACATCAACAATTGAATGGTAAAAAAAAAATTAAAACCTCACATAGGAATTAACATCGAATATAAATGTCATGAGATGAATGGTTAGGACAAATTTTGCACTTGTTCATCAACATGAATTAAAATTTAATATGTTGAAATAAAGTCAACACTATGGTCATACATATGGTATAGAGCTTTTGACAAATTTTGTAGCACAAATCAAAATTAGAATACATAAAATATTTGAAAAAGCAAAACAAACACATTTAAAAGTGACCAGAAGCTAAATACTTGTGCAATTCAAGAAACATTGAATCCATATATATGGTATAGATGAAGTACAATATGTTTAATATTATAGATGAGATAAATCTATCATATTTATTTATTGGTTCTTAAACATTAAAATATATTCCAAACAACTAAATATAAATAATGGTGCCATATTTCAACTGCACGTGCATGAGACACATAAATATACATATACTTATGCTCATGCAATTAATTTTTCTTATTTTCTACATAATTATTTAGTCAAAAGAAAGCAATGTGAATCAAAAGGAATTGCTATCAATCAGTTTGCAACCTTAAAGTTAGGATTGACATCATGCATCAATAATAAGCTCTCTCCTCCTATCATATATATATATTGCTTAAATCACTAAGAAAATACATCCTGAAAAATAAAACGGTCATAGTCACACAATTTTCAAAGTATTTATGAAAAAATATTAAATAAATGATTGATTGAAAGTTCATTTTCACCACAAATGTAATAGTTAAAATGTATGCATTATAATTCAGATTTATAACACAAATAGAATATTGGCTAACTTTCCCATCACTATTAATCATTCCCCTAATAAGGGAATGGATTTATAAACTCCTTTACATTATTAATTTCTTCAATGAAGTTACACATAGTTTACCTAAATTCATTTGATGCTTATAGACATGTTAGCTTTGGCTTGATCCTCTAACTCTCCTAAGCACCTTATCATTTCACCTTTATTATTACACCCCTCTTTTCAAGAGCTTCTTATATTCTTCTCAATACATGTTCAAATTATTTCAAGTTATCTATCATCTTATTTTCAATAGATGCAACACCTACATTTTCTATAAATTCTAATGAGCAAATCAAATTCAATTATTGTTCCTTGAGCTAATACATATTCATAAGAGAAAGAATTAGTCATCCTCTACATTTTACCAATGCCAAGCAAGAAATGTTGCTTATTCATAAATCCAAAAACTTGTGTGCATAAGTAGCACAAAGTAACTACATTAATCAAACCTTAGTATTATTTTGATCTTCAATCACAACCGGTTGATCATTGTGACAGTGATTTATAGTAAAATTGCAAATCATATGCTTAAAAAAGTATTCATGTTTAGAAAATTTTATTAAATTATTTTCCAAAGCTTTTATATCATTGATTTTTCATTTTTTTTATCTTTTTGTCACTCCTATTAGAAATATAGCTCACTTTGAAGAATTCGGCTAAAAAACAAACATGACTTTGGCTATCATATAAGAAATGCTGGAATTAAGACAAAAAGATTTACTACGACAAAACAAAAGTTTGTAGAATATCAGCCAAAATGAAAACTTTCTTAGCACAAAATAAAAGACTTCACACGGAGATTCGACACCCGAAAACTCAACATCAAATGGTGCAAAACTTGGAGGATGGTCGTTCCTTGATTGAAGAACCCAATTTCAATATGTACCATTTTTCCGGCTGTTAATCATAAAGGCACATGAAGATTTAATTAAATTAAAAGTATAAAATTTAAATGTTAATCGGTTATTAATAGAACATACTTGAAATTAATAAATTGATTATAATAATTGAAATGAAAAGTTTAAATTTGTTTTGAAAAATTAAAATTAATTAAAATTAAATGTTAGATTTAGGTTTGTTTTGGTTACTCGATGCGTTTTGTAAAAGATAGTTTTAAAAATTTTGTTCGAAAGAATTAGGGTTTATAATGAAGACGTTAATGCTATAAAGCTTTTGAAAATAATAAAAAAAAAAGTTAGTAAAAAACATATTTAGAAATAAATAAATAGAAATTCAAAAATAATTTTGACTTTTAGAAACAGAATAAACAAAATTAAGCCGCCTCAAACGAGGCCTTAATATGGAAAACAAATAAAAATAGTTTTTTTTTATAATATATAGATATATAATTTCTATAAAAGCCCCAAACGTGGGATGTTTAGGTAGCCAATTTGTCTAGCCTTTTTATTAAACGCCTCGGTTTACAACGGAGGTTAAGACCTTTCCTGACCCTCTTTTTTTTTTCCCACACCGTACCGAAAACCCTAGGCAAGAGTCATGGGACAGGGAACCCCCGGTGGATTGAGCAGGCAAGGCCTTCCCGGCGATCGAAAGCACGATGGCGACAAGAAGGACAAAAAGTTCGAGCCTGCAGCACCTCCTTCCCGAGTCGGACGGAAGCAACGCAAGCAGAAAGGGCCTGAGGCCGCGGCGCGGCTACCTACGGTGGCGCCGCTGACTAAATGCAAACTTCGCCTTCTTAAGCTCGAGCGAATAAAGGACTATCTCTTAATGGAGGAGGAGTTTGTCGCCAACCAGGAGCGCCTCAAGCCCCACGAGGACAAGAACGAGGAGGACCGGTCCAAGGTTGATGATCTCCGTGGATCTCCCATGAGCGTGGGAAACCTCGAGGAGCTCATTGACGAGAATCATGCGATAGTATCTTCCTCGGTTGGACCCGAGTACTACGTGAGCATTCTATCGTTTGTGGACAAGGATCAGCTGGAACCTGGGTGTGCGATCCTCATGCACAATAAGGTGAGTATCTTGTTCTGTCGATCCTCTGCTTTAAGGATGTGCCATAGATTTCCTTATAAATAAAGGCTGATGATGGATTTTCATAGATATGGAAGATTGGATTTGTGGTTTTACGCAGTACTACGATGAAATCAATCAATTTGGAATCTGTTCAGATGGAAAGTTGTGTTTGTGCATTTAAATAATGGGCCTGAAGCTTGGTAATTAAATCGGCGAAGTGCTTGAAACAGGAGGATATTCGAAGGACTAAAATGAATTTGAACGTGGATTTAGTAGCACCAGTTAGGTTATGGATAATTGTGTTGGCTGTTGAAAGAGTTATTAGCAGCTTGGTTTAGTAGTACTTGAATGGTGATGCCAAACTGGATGTGTTGGTAATCTCGGAATGGTAACAGCGAGAAATGATTTTATTAATGAAATGAAAGGAGTGCCTACGGTATTCAACTCAGTGAGAAGTAAATTTAAGCGTTTTAGCCATATACAAAGGATGGTACAAGATACACCAATAAGATTGCTACATAACGTAAGTGTACAAGAAATATAGAAGATAAGAGGTTAGAGCAAAGTTTGAATGACTGGAGGTTGTTTAAATAGATTCACATACACTAGGGTTAGTATATCACGTGCTTTCAATTCTAGTTAATGTGGTGGAATAATTGATAAAGACAACTCATCTTGTTTGGATAATTATAATGGTTATGATGAATACTAGACGTTCTGTAATGTTGTCTCTTTGTTCAAAAAGTTTTTATCACTGAAATAACTGTTTGAATGGGCAATCAGTCTTTGTGGAGATTTTTAGTGTGCCTAAGATGCCTAAGTGGAAGTTGTAACTGATGAAAGTAGTTAAGCTAGGCGATCTAAGCCATACTTATTCAAAATTTTCCTCTGGATCAGAACTTTAGATGAGTCTCATAGTTATAATTTGAAGAACGGGCTTTTCATAAACCCAAGTAGTTTGTTTTGGCTTTTGAGAGTTATCATTATTTATGTTATATATTTTTTCTAGCTGATGTATTTTATTGGAAAAAGTTTGTATCAAGGAAATAGCTTAGGAACTCTTCTGCTGTTGTGATATCCACAGGTTTAATTAAATAATATAATCTTTGTTTGATATGACTTAGGCTGTTTGCTTTTGTTATAATAACCTTAGAAAACTTCTTTTTCAGCTACATTTTGTATTATTTTTTTTCCAAAATCATCTTTTCTCAAAGCAAATTATAGGCAAAGCATTGAACAATTTATTCAAAAATTTCCTCTTTAGAAAGTAGAAACCAAAAGGAATGCATTAACATGCTGGTTCTTTAATTAATTTGCACCTTATCCATGAAAATCAACATAGCATTTTATATTACTTTCATTTTGCAACAGTTCATGTTTTTTCTGTCTTTTCTCTGCCCATGCATTTCCCAATTACGACAAGCTTGACTAAGCATTATATTTGGGTTTTTATGATAGTCAATGAGTCAATCTACAACTAGTCTTCCAATGTGGTTGTCATTAGGCTAATGTGTTGCAGATGGCTTTGTGATGGTACTTGCTGACAGGTTTTTCAACATTTATATTGAAATCCTTCGGCAGAATGCTGAGCATATATAGCTAGCTCCAGTTTGTATTCTGACTTTGTGAAGCACTCCTAACACACAGTGACAACAAATAACTACATAAACATTCCAATATATTTTGTGTTTGGATAAATGCCACACAGGTCCAAACCAACCCTTTGCTATGCTCATATATTGAACTGTAGAATGGAACCTTCCTAGCTAAATTTATACCACGCTTTTGAATGAAAATTGTGTACTCAATTTATAAGTTTGAAGAGTCTTCTAGGAAGGTTATTGTCTATTTCCCTATTGGGGGATATGGGGTATTAATAGAATAATATGAATATTAGAATATATCATTTAAATAGATCAATCTTGGAATTGTGGACAGTTGTTCCAATGAAAGTATAAGGGAAAGCAAGTGTAGCTATCACTATTGAGGCGATTATGACTAAAGGATCGTTGGTTATTATAAATGAAAGGTTTTACTACAGAATGATAGATACGGTTTGGGCATTTGATCATCACTTGATAGGAAAACAGAATAAAAACTTTGCCTTTGCTCGAAGCTTCCCTATTTCTCACATTGCAGTCTAACATAATGGTTTTGTTCCATTTTTTCTTCCAAACTCGCAGAGGATGGATCCATTGGAGGATAAATATTTTGAATCTTTGCTTATTATCAAATATATAATATAGTGTTGCTTCTATTGACTTGTTGCACAATAATTTTGAATCACAAGCAATTGAATTGCAATAGAAGGGTCAACTAAAGGAAGCAAGGTGGGACTACCATCTGCCTTAGCCTGCAGTAACTTGTTTATGGTTAAAGCAGAATATGCTGGGCGTGGGTGTCTCTGGAAACTAGCTGGTGAAGTTGTTTTGATAAATGTAATTTGGGTAAGAGTAGTTGTGGTAAGAGTGGTTAAAATTCCTTACTGTTTATTTTGTTGTTGGAAAAGAAGGATTTGCTTGGTGTACATGCTTTTTCATTTTTGGTCAACTATTGAAGTTCATGACCTTCCTGAATTGCAATTGCCATGGATTTCATCAAGAGCATAATGGCCAATTTTGCTTAGCATATATGTGATATGTTTATTTGTCTTAGTTGAGAATGGGTTTGTGGTTTGTTATTATTGAATGAGATTGAAGCTGGAGAGATAGACTTGAATCACGAGAATGAGGTACACATTTTTTTTTGGTTGGGAAATGGATGATAGTTTTATTGTTTGTTTTAATTGTAAATAATTATTAGATAGTAAATGACGTTGTACTTTTCGGGATGGGAATGTAAACTTCATTGAGCTTTTAATTTGACCGCACTCCAAACCTTATAGAGCAAAAATAAAACGTGGATGTTGCTTCTTATCACTTCAGGCTTTTCTATTTGTCAACACCAAGGTCTCACTCCCATTCCCCAATTCATAACTGAAAATCTGAGTCAGGCTTTTTGCAAATTGCAAATCCCATCAATATGAGTGGTTTTGACTTATGAATGGTGTTGAAAAGAATTTGTGGGACTTTGAACTTCATCAACATGCACTTAAAACTTTTCTGAGAGATGGTTTCATGATGATTTAATTTGATTAGCAGACCATGTTCATATGTTTTTATTTTTTATGCATTTGCTAAAGAACACTTATTCGAGTACTGCCCAAAAAGTTTAGTTTTATGACATGACATTATTATTATTTTTACTGTTCAATCTATTTTCGTAACTAGGTGGCTTTTAGAAAAAAAGCCTTAATTTAGTGATGGCATGTGACAATTGTTGCCAGTGTTCAATGCAATATTAGCCATTGAGCATCAGTTTATGTACTTATAGTGATTTGCACGTATTTTGTCAAATTTTCCCGCCTTATCATTTTCTTTTTATGTGCCCTGTGCTTCTTTGAGAAATTTAGATTGATTGAATTTACTTTATACTTCTTATGGGTGAGTGTTGTTTATTTTGAGTATTTTGTAGGTCCTTTCTGTTGTTGGACTATTGCAAGATGAAGTTGATCCTATGGTTTCAGTGATGAAAGTAGAGAAAGCTCCATTAGAATCTTATGCTGATATTGGTGGTCTGGATGCTCAAATTCAAGAAATTAAAGAAGCAGTTGAACTTCCTCTAACCCACCCTGAGCTGTATGAAGACATTGGTATTAAACCGCCCAAGGGAGTCATACTCTATGGAGAGCCTGGAACTGGGAAAACCTTACTTGCCAAAGTTAGTTATTTGCCAGAATAACTTCTAAGTGACTTTTCTTGGTGTATTTCAAATATTTAAAAGTTAATTCCTGCACATATTTTCCATACAAACTTAAAAAAAATTCTTTCTAATTATATTTCTTTGCAATATTCATCCATGTCTACCTGTCAGGTAAATGATGACGCTTGGAGGGTTGGCTTGATTTATAATATCCTGTTGGTAACATATTAATATTTTAATGCTCTTCTAGCAATGTGGGCGTGGAAGCCTTCTACAAAAACTGTTTGTGTGTGGGAATGGTGGGAACAGCTCAAAACACCTCGATACCTGGGTGTGGAGGAGCATTCATTAGTATATTTCTTGTTGAGTCAATAAAGTACATGAACTTGACAATTTTCATATAAAAAGTGAACATTTTCTTATTTATTAGCAAATGGAAATCATTGAAACTTGAGAGTGTTTTATGATTATATAGTCACTGCACATCCGAATGTCATGGATTAATGAATGCAAATGAATATTATCCAACAGGACAACTTTTTGCAGCTAAAGTTTTATTAGATAAAAATATTTAAAATGCCATCTTTACCTAAAGAAAGAATTAAATTCCATCTATTATGGGTAGTTTAATAGAAAGTTTTATTCCCACATGTTACAGACTGTTTTATTTATTGAGCTAAATGTGGCTATTCATGAAGACGGAGGCCATTTAAAAGTCTTATATAAATAGTAGAGTGTGATTATTAGTGAACACCGAGGCTACTTAAAAGCCTTATATAAATTATAGAGTGTATATATTGCCACAGGCTTGATTTTATTGTTGTTGTATATATTGCGACAAATATATGCATGTATATAATATTGTGTGCATATTTTTATGCACACGTAAGCATAATTGAGCTACATTGAGTTGAAGACCTGTCAGTTTGTGAAGTAAATGCTCTTATAAAAATGGGTCGAATTTGATCTCATTCATGAACTGAAGACGAACAGTGAGGTTTTTTGCCATACCTAGTGCCTGATGAGGTACAATCTCTAGAGTAAATATTATAATTTGATTGTTTAATTCATGGTTCTCTTTCTGTGCACTAAACATGATATTACACAGGTGATTTGCTTTTTTTTTTTTTTAATTTCCTGAAATTTATAATCTCAATCTGTCTTTGTACTCAAAATTTTAATATTTGGCGAGTTACTATTCTATAATTTTTTTTTTAAATTTTCTCTGATTTTTTTTTCCACTTGAGTGACTGGCTGACTGCCCAGATATACCTTTATACCTGTAGATTTTTACATATATGCTTTTTAAAGGTTATCCTAATCCATATTTGTTTTTTTGTTTCTGCGACACCTTGAATTTGGGAATTTTTGAACCGCTAAAGCATTACTTTTAATGCAGTTGAGCATTAGTATCATGTTGTAATGATCTAGTAGCATTATTATTTTTTTAATTTTCATGACACCTTGTGTAACAGTTATATGTTTTTTCTCCAGGCTGTGGCCAACTCAACCTCTGCAACATTTCTTCGTGTTGTTGGAAGCGAATTGATTCAGAAATATTTAGGTGATGGCCCAAAATTAGTCAGGGAACTCTTTAGAGTAGCTGATGATCTTTCTCCATCAATAGTGTTTATTGATGAGATAGATGCTGTTGGCACTAAAAGGTACTATGTGAGAGTTTCTGAAGATGCTTAAACATTATCAACCATATATTGAATTGATCATCAATGCTTTTGGTATGGCTTTTGTTTAGATATGATGCTCATTCAGGGGGAGAACGTGAGATACAAAGAACCATGTTGGAATTGTTGAATCAGTTAGATGGTTTTGACTCAAGGGGGGATGTCAAGGTTATTCTTGCCACAAACAGAATTGAAAGTCTGGATCCTGCCTTGCTTCGACCTGGACGCATTGATAGGAAGATTGAATTTCCCCTTCCTGATATTAAAACAAGGCGACGGATTTTTCAGGTATAAGTGGGCTTTTGTTTTATTATAGTACATTAGGTCTTCATAAGTCATCCAATTGGAAGATTAAATTTATTGTTATAGATTATCATTTTTGTATTTATCCAGTTATAAATGATAAAACCCCGGAATGCAGATTGGTTTCATATGGATACCCAACAGCACGTTGCACATGTGTGCACACACACCGACACTCATGCAATCTCACAGTCAAGCAAATGTATTTGAATGATAGTTTCTGGTAGATGCTTTGGTTTGCTCTTGTTTACTGTTATCTCTTTGCATATGTAGATACATACTTCGAGGATGACTCTAGCTGATGATGTCAATTTGGAAGAATTTGTGATGACAAAGGATGAGTTTTCTGGAGCTGATATTAAGGCCATCTGCACTGAAGCTGGGTTGCTTGCTCTGAGGGAACGCAGAATGAAGGTATGGTAAATTTTTTGGTTATCTATGGCTGTGTTTTGTAAAAAAATTTAAGTGCCTCTTCTAAAGTTATCTTATCTTAGAAACCACATCTATATGCAAAGCACAAGGATTGTATGTATATGCATGTAGCAATGTATGTATATATGTATCATTTATAATGGAAGTTATTAGATAAACAATAATGCCCTTGCTCGTGACAAATCGTAGTTGTTGGTGTTTGGAGTCGGAACAACAATTGCTCTTTGATGTTTCCAAGGTCAGGTTGATGCCTCTTTCTACAAGAGGGCCATTAGCTTCTTTGTGAGTGCGTTTGTGTATCCCCATATGCGCTCTGGGTGTGGTATTTTCAAACCGTTATGTGCAATGGGATCAGAAGGGATTCTTTTTATTTCCAACTGAAACAATGCTTTTTTTAAATAGTGCATTAATGAATAACATATAATATGTGCATATATTATGTGCTTACAACAATTTGTTGATTAGCTAAATTTGAACCACTTTAGGTAAAAATTTTCAAGAAATACATTGGTGAGTTCAATAACAATAATTTTTTTTGCTATTAGAAAGTCAAATTTTTCTTTTTTTAAAATTTATAAATAATGAATTGACGAAAGAATATTCATGAGATTGAGTGAACAACTAGAGATCTAGAGGCAGAGACAATGTGAAGTGCGAGTCAATGTAATGATGAGAGATCAATAAGCGTTTTCGGCAAGAAGCTTGTTAGTAAGAAGTTTCTAACGCCCAATAAAAAGAACCAATTAGAAGCATATAAAAAAACAAATGGGCGAGAGAAGAAGCTTGTTAGTACGAAGTTACTAATGCCAATAATAAGGACTAATGAGAAGTATATAGAAAAACTAATGGGCGTGAGTGCATTTTGAGAACCACTAAGAGGTGATTAGTGCTAGTGGGAAAGAATGAAAATCCAAAGAGCATAAGGATAAGCGAATGTTAACGCTTTATTGTTGTGGCAGATGTTGAAGCAAACCGTGACATGAAACAAGTTTTTATTTTGAGTTAGACTCGAGCATAACGATGTTCGATGCATAGCGATTTAGCACGCACACTTTGGTATAAGCTTTCTGCTTTATAGGCGTGATGCGCCCAAACAACACATCGTTTTGCTTCACTTCTAAAGTGCACTTTTAACAACACTCTCACCAGATGTGTGCTCATACACACAAACATGAGTGCTCATGTGTAAAGCATATCTTCAGTTGTATAGTTTGTATATACTATGCTATAAAATTTGGATGAGGATGAGCTATAAATTAAAGGAAGTTTTTGTAAGTTACATGGAGTTTAAATCACCCCACTAATGGGTCCATTAACTTTGGGCTTCGGGGTTGTAATTTATATGGCTATTGGGGTTATGTGACACTTCACTAGTTTTGTCATTTTGTGTTAGAGAGAAAGAGAAGTTCATCTTTATCTTTGTTGGGTTATATGACACTCTACTAGTTTTGTCATTTTGTGTTAGGGAGAAAACTTTACTATTAGCGTTGATAAAAAAAATTCAAATATTTTTTGAGAATTTCATCGTAACTTTCATTTCCTTGTGAGGTAAGATTTAAATTAAAAATTTCATATTGATAACATGGCATATTCAATGCACATGCCTTCACATCCATGGCATGGGTTTTATGTTAGAAGCCTTTCCCTTTATTGAAGAGCATGTTTTCATGATTTGAATTGCAGCTTCAATCTCATAATTTGAGAACCCAAAAAGTTGGAATCCATTGGTATATTGTATTTATAAATTCTAATGATAGCTAAACACCAGCTCCTTTAAGATACGAGGAAATCATATTGTAAAACATTATTTTATATTTCAAGGTAAATTTTATGACATTTTAACTTGACTCTTCATGCTTTATCGATTCAATGTTGTAACACAACAAGTCACTAATTACTTGAGGTGGCAGAAATGAGAAGGCTGGGATGGTTTGTTGGCAAAATTAAAGAGATGGTGGGAGTAGTAAATATTGATGAAAGAGTAGTTCAGAATAGACTTTGGTGGTTTAGACTTATACAATGAGAGGTTGAAGTTGTATGAAAAAGATAGATATTGAGAATTAGTGAATAGGAGTTGCATAAAAAGACATTTCAATTAGACTTCACATCTCATTTAATACAATAAAAATGAATGTAAAAGAATGATTAATAAAGATGGTTTCAAATAATTGGGATTAGGCTTAAAAATGAATGTATAGTAGGATTAATTAGTCCACTCCGGAATAGTTGGGGTTAGGCTAATAATGATTGTACCTATAACTGATCCAATCTTGAGTGTTTCCATCATAGACTCATGATCATCTCTAAGTTTTTTGGTTCAATCTCAGTTTGAGCTAGGCCTAGCTATCCTAGTTATTAGTTGACTCAATAATGTATTCATTCATTTTGAATCTAATTTATTAATTCTGATAAAGGCCAAAAAAAAGGTTCAATATTTTATTTGTTTTGACCATAAAAGGTTTATTATCTTGCATACATACTTCTATTAATACATCCATAATACATTGATGTCCAAATGCTAGGTTCATGCATACAAATTAAAGTTTTTTTCAAGCATGCATACTAAAATGCGATACACATGTTGTTAGACTTGCATTTATATGTTAAGCCATTTACATTTCCATTTGATTAGTTAGCCCGATTTGATGCTGATTTATTATAATTCAACTTTGATTCAAGATAAAAATCCACTTTTGAGTTATAGGCAAGGCACCTTTAATTGATGAAGCCTATAGTAATTTATTTATTTTGATATTAGTTATTTTTGCTATCAATATTGAATGTGAAATATGTTAGGTAAGATTTTGATGCTATACATATTTTATCAATAATGCTGAGTCAATTTCTTTTTAGAAATATAAAATGATATTACTTGGGAAGTGATATTAATAATAATGAAAAAAATGTTTTCTTATGGAATGCATCCCATTGACTCACAAACTCAATTGAGTTCTAACCACTGTTATCTGTTGAATCCTTTTTAGGCTTCATAACATATTCTTTTTTTTGTTTTGCTTATTCTTGGAGGTTCCCTTAAGTTTGGAGGTGTTAATTCTTAGATCTGAGGGTGAATTAAAAAACCTATTCATTTGCTCGCGTGTTATATTCATGAAACACCATTTTTTGTAGATTTTTAGCATTGATCTTTTCGAGTTGCTACTCCTTGCTTAAAATATGTATGCATGCCTGGTTGAGGACATGCGTTTTGAAGGGGTTTTTAAAAGGAGGTGACGCTTCATTCTTCCTTCAATAATCGCTTCATCTTAAAACTTCAAAAAACTTAACTACAATGCAATGACATTTTAAAAAGTACATAGCATGTTTTAGATGTGTGATGTAAAACAACTTTTCTTTATCGTTCAAATATAGGGTGAATTCTTTCTACAACAGTATTGATCTTATTCAAATTTCTTGGGGCTTGCTAGGAATTATCCTTATTCACTCATTCAAGTTAATTTTACACTAGGTGCTGACTTTATTTTGCAAAACTTTTAGATATGTTACGTTCTATTTAGCCCTTATCCGTCTTAATTCTTCCATGTCAATTTTTTGAATTGTTTAATTTGTTCATCTTCTGGCCGTTATTGTACATGCCTAAATCATCTGCATCTATTTTTTGATGCCTTATTCTAAATAGGTACATCTCTTTTAGAGTATTATGTATTCATTTCTCAATTTATTCTTCCTAGTTTTACTTCTACTTCTCATTTTTGCCACTTGTTATTATTTTCTTATGATGGAACACTTCTGCCAAAATTTATCTTAAAGACTCATCAAAATTTTTTTCATTGCATATAAATCCAAAGGATCTTCTTCGTTTTAACCCCTTAATATTTACTCTATATAGTTATAGTCTCACTTATATTTCTATTCTTCTATTTTAATAGATCCAAGATACCTAAATCTATAGCATAATTGTTAATCCCATTTTCATTAAAATTCACATAATTTGTACAATTTTTATACTATTTACTTTTCTCTTATTCATTTTTTTCCTATTGTTCTAAATTTATTACTTATTTTAGCCGTGATAACATCAGCTTAATTATTGTAAAAGAGAATTTTGTTAGTGGCTTACAAGTTTTGAATAATATGCAACCTTTAAGAATTATTACCCATGAATGAGATGAAAATTTTTTGGAGTTAGTTTTTTTTTTGCCCTTATGTGCAATACTATTTTGGGTTGTCTAAATATTAGCTTTAACCATGTAATTTCAAATTTATGAAATCTGACTTATGGCTCATCGTTTTTTGCGAACATAGCATAGTTGCTAGTATTTGATTTGGGTCAGAATTTTGTGTTTTAAATTTAACTTTGGGTCTGGTTATTAAGGTACTGTACTTATGTTGTGCCATTTTTTGTTGCAACTACTAGTATTTTGGCTGTCTTTCCTCATCCATATTAATGCGATGTTTAGCATGTTTATTGAGAGAAACAATGTTGATTATGAAAATTAGCTTTTGTTCATGTTGCGGATTTAATTGCTAAAACTTTTTACTCGAGTTTTCATTTAAATATTTTCGATAATCCACCTACTTGAACTTTTTGATGAGGTCATCGATAGGAGATTTCGGCGCGTCTATCAGAGACGACCACGGAGATCGACGACCATGATCGCTAGCCTTTATTTTTTGATTTTACTTGTACCATCAGTTTTCATATTGTGCTTTTATTTTCGTAGTTTCTGTTGTATTTTCTTGCCTAGCAAATTAAACATCGCGAATTACTTATGATCTACTTGACTTTGATGCATGATCAAATAATTCGAGGAGCTAACATTTAATTCTCGTTTTAAATTCTTGTGTAACTCCCCTTTTGCATCACATCACTTTTTTTTTTTTAATATTCCCACTTGAACATTTGACGCTGATATATTTGTTCACTGTTGCTTGCTTCAGGTAACTCAAGTAGACTTTAAGAAGGCAAAGGAGAAGGTTATGTTTAAGAAGAAGGAAGGCATACCGGAGGGACTTTATATGTGATAAAATTCTGTCCTTTACGAAAGGACTTCTTCAGTATGTCTTGTCTTTTACAGTATTCTTAAACACATCCAATGAACAGCTTACAAGTTTGATCATGTTAGTTTTTTTTTTTTTGTATTTTGCGCGTTCTGTTTATGTTAAAGTAATTCAAAAGAGATGAGATGTGAGGATGATAGGAAATAATTGAAGATTTAAAGTAATTACTATCAATTTCGGAAAAATAGTGAGAAAATGATAAGGACATTCGATCGTGGAAAGTTTATCAAAGAATGGGCCGAAGATCTATGGCTATGATTGGACTACTTTATTTTTGAGATTTTAGTTGTATTTGATTTATTTATGTATCTTTTCCGTTTTTAACCTCACTTGAGGGAGTAGGCTTATAGGGGGCACTTTTTTCATTAGACGTATAATTGTATTTTAGCTATTTATAGGCCTCTCCTCTTCGGAGGGGATGATGATCATGATAAAGAAAATTTCCTTCACTTTGTCTCTTGGTGAGTTCTAAGAGTTCTTGTGAGAATTCTTGGAGAGTTTGAAGTCCCTAGGTGAGGGCAAAGCATCACCCATCAGTCTCAGAAAACGTCCGGGCTCGCGGTCAATCTTCTTCACTACATCTCCTTCTTCCTCCTAGCCACCGCCCCCTCCTTCCTTTTCCTCCATTGGCCGAACCCTATCCCCCCTCCCCCCCATCCAACTGCTGGCCAACCATCTCCCTCCCTAGCCGTCGGTCCCAACATCCCTCCCCTTGGATTCAGAGTTTCAACCAAGTAATTACAACTTCCCTAATTTATCTCATTCCAAATTTGTAAAGTCATTTAAATGCATATTTGAATTTATTTGAATTTGAACTTCCTTTCCTTAAATAAAATGAGTTATAAGAGGAAAGCCCTCCAATCATGTTAATTTAAATTCAAATAGATAATTGCCATGATTTCTTTTTTCCCTAATTAATATTCTATGATTGGCAATGTCATTAAAACTCTCAAATCCTCTACCCAATTGAAGCTAGCTGCCCCCTCCCATATTTCCATAATTAAAACTTTGCCAATTGGGAAACCCAATCAATCCCTCCATCAAGGTGCCGCCCCCTTTCCCTCTCTCCTTTTGGGAGTTTCAAATTCGATTCTCCCCCAATTTCTCATCCACTTAAAGAAACCATTAATTCCTATTGCAATCCCACTTAAGTCTTACACTCTTACCTTATTTGGCATACCACCTAGACAAGAATTCAATTACAGGAATTTAATAATTGCTAAAATTTAAAGTCAAAAATTCTCTATTGGCTGCCCTTCCTTATTCAACACCCAAATAAGGAATTGAATAGTGCTCTAGGGCCGGCCATAACCTCCACCTTCCCCTCTACACTTGGGCTCATTCGCTTGATGTATCCACCTAAGAAGGGGATGTGAATCCTCTTCCCTCGGTCGACCACATTCAAACCCTTCGAGCACTTTAATCCCTCGACGATTGCAATGAATGTTTACTTCAAAGCGAACCCACAAGCGATCATCGCCCGAATCATGAAGAATATTGGAGCAAAGTTCAGAAGCTTGACGAAGTTCTACATCAAGTTAAGAAGCTTGACGAAAGTGAACTCTCTTCCAAACCTTTTTATCTTCTAACTCGATTGTGGCATCATTGACATTAGGAAAGCTTCCCTGCCTAGCCCTTATTATGAGCATGTGTGAGGGATCTTAATAGTGATTAATCTATATGTTAATCAAGGGATTTCCTTGAAAGCCCCATGTTAAGCAAAGTCTGATTTGATTTGATTATTTTGTGCTCCTAACATTATCTTGTAATCGATTGCCTAAGCTTAATCATTGACTTATTGTTTCCAATCTTTTGTTTAAACCGTAGGAAGTTGAATAATTGTTATTGCTCATTCATAAGCATGTAATTTCAAAGTTAATAGTATCACATGTTCATGTTGTTCTACATTAGAAAAACTCTTCAGAACTCAACGAAAATAAGAAAAAAAAAACAGTAGTTTTTATTGCAATAATCGAAGATACAGATGGAAAAACTAAGATACAATTGATCCTCTATTCGAGAGGAGGATCTATCTCTCTCAAATCTCTAGATGCCGCTAGAGCCCAAATAAACTAAAAGATCTCAAATTCCAGCCAAATTCAATATGCCTTAACCCTAGGAAAATAAACTATTTAATACATACGATCCAAAAGAAAATCTCTAAATAGTCCCTACATTCAAATTTCCCTCCTAACTCCCTCAAAAATGCTTCCTAAATATCTTTGTTGGGATTTGCAGTTCGGTCGACGTGTACAGGGAGGTGAAACTCTTCCGCCTCTGTCCGCCTGAGCAGGTCCCGTATGGACCGGTCTAACAGAGGAACCTTTTATCACTTGAATATGCTATCTTTGTCTGTTCTCCAAAGCATTCTCTGTCTTTCTCTATGGTTTATGATGCAATATGAATTTGTATTGATTTGTATTCGAAGGCTCATCATGTGAACATTTTACAGGGTTGTAAGGATTTATCTGGAGCTTGGTTTAGGAATTTGTTGGTGATAGAACTCATGGTTTTTGAGTTTTTGTAGCTTGGATCACATCGTAAATGTCCTGGAAGAAAACAAAATAGCATATACAATACTTAGTATTAGTAAAATAAAGATCAATTATATATAATATGTAATTTTAGCTGGAGTAAATTTGAAAACTATCACCGAAAAATTATATGATACTTAGGTGTGGTATGTTTAAATATCTTAGATTAATGTGCACAATAATAGTGATATAGACAAGTATATAACTTGATAGAAGTAAGGTTACATGATTATAATGAAGAAGTGACTTAAGAGTATTATCTAATAGGAATTATCAGGATGACTTAAAAAGTAATTTTTTTGCACATTTAGATTGATTATTTTAAATGGTTTCTAGTGTGTTAATAAAGAAGCCATCGATAATCAAGTTGGTTGGGAAAAAATTAAATATTAATAGGGTTTTGTGGCAAAATTTAGGACATATTGATAAATGATTATATAGGAGTGTTTGTGTGAGTAGTACCTATTGTGTATTCAAAGTAGGGGAAAATGAATTGAAATGGTTTGGGCCTTGACTTGCACCTTTATGATTAACATATATAATTAATATGGTGGGAAGTTTAGAAAGGAATAGATGCAAAACAAAGGTGTTATCTATAGAAGTTATACAAAAGGATTTATTTAAGACCTTCAAGTTCTTCTTCTTCTTTAATATATATGATTTATTTCAGTATCTCTTGTGCTCCAGTCTCCTCTATTGTCGGCCCTTTTTTGGGCATGCACAACTAGATGATTCACATTAAAGTGAAGGACTGAAAGCTTCATTAGAATTTGGTTGTTTGATTTTCAGTAGGCTAATTAAGGTTTTTAGAAGCTGTTTGGTGCATCAGGAGATCAATTTTATGGCTTATTTGATCTTCAGTTTATCATTTACATGGTGGAATGGAACTCATGAGTTCTGAGGGGTTGGGAAGCTTGGATTCGCATCTTTGGAGGTTTTCAACATTTTTTACTGCTTCTTGAAGCAGCTTTCTAGTACAAAAATTTTAATTTTTATACTATAAAGTTACTTCAATAAGCAATAAAAAAATTGTCCCAAATGAAGCCTTAGTGTGTTTAGGGCCAACTGATGTGGCTAAGGAGGATGCAGAAGACTTGTTATGAGAAGAGAACGAGCATTCATTACTCAAGTATGGGAAAAATAAGAATTTCTAATATGCTAGCATAAATATTCTAACAAATAACAATAACTTAACATTAAAAAATACTAGACAAAAGATGCAATCTTTTAGGAAGTAGGGATATCATCCTTTAATTATGAGAATAGCTTCATCATTCAAATATGTGGCATCCAATTTTTTTTCTAATTCTAAAATAGCCTGATCATCCATGCGGTTTCTGACACATCTAAAAGCTGTGTAGTTTCCCTTGAAACAAATGCGGCCATCTCTATAACCTTGGGTTTTATTGGAGCTTTTGACCTTTCTTTAGATCTTAATGTAGTACTTGATGCGGTATAGCCTTTAATATAGCCTGTCCAAACTTGTGTATCCTAATGTCTTATTGGGATGGAACATGTCTTATTTCCATTTTCATAACAAAACTCTGAACTTGTTGATGTTATATCTAACATCTAATGTCATCAGTGCCTCCAATCATTTTCTCCTTTTTCTATCTACTAATGTTTTATTTGTGACAGCTTTATTAATGATTTCAAAAGCAGTTTTCAGTACAAAAAATTTAATTTAAGAATTTTTGTACTAAATGCTTTAGAAAGCAGCAAGAAAGCCGTCTCAAATGAAGTCTAAGGCTTCGTTTGGGACAGCTTTCTTAATGCTTCATAAAGCAGCTTTCTAGTACAAAAATTAAAAAAATTATACTAGAAAACTGCTTTAAGAAGCAGAAAGAAAGTCACCCCAAACGAAGCTTAAGGCTTCGTTTGGGATGACTTTCTTAAAGCAGCTTCCTAGTACAATTTCTTAATTTGTACTAGAAAGTTGCTTTAAGAAGCAATAAGAAAGCCGTTTGAGAAGCTTAAATCAACAGCCTGATGCTTCGGGCAGATATGCATTGTTCCTTTAAAGTATTTTGATTTTTTCTTCACTAATTATCAGTCTGTTACTGCAGGTTCTAACTGAGCAGATGCCAAATTCCCCAACATGTTTCTATACTCAGAAGAACACCTAAGACATAAATTAATGATTTGAAGCTTTGCTTTTGGAATCCTGCATTCTGGGCTTTATAAGTCATGACTGCTATTTTTATTCTCCGTTGTTGTTTAGAATTTAACAATCACTCTCTTGTTGTAAAGGCATTGCTTGCCATGTTATCTTTTACAGTCCCATAAATTAATGATATGTTTATTTTCGACTTAAATGCATAGCTCTCTAATCACTGCGGTTTCTTATCATTACCATCGCCTCTAATGATGACACAATTAGATCATTAGTGTTAAATTGTATAGTATTTTGTTTTAATTACACCATTAACTTTATATGTGACTTTGTCACTTTGAGTAGTATAATATCTCTTTACTTGCATGATTGCCAAATTCTTAATGGATAAGATTAGGCAGGACTAGTCAAGGTAACCTTCTTAAGGATTTGTTTGAGATTTTTTTATTTATTCTTATTATCATCAAACATCATTAGTAAAAACTAAAATGGAATAAATTTTATTCTTATTATCAAAAAACATCATTAGTAAAAACTAATGTATCAAGGCCCCATAGAATAACAAGTAAGCACGGGACAAGTTGACCAAAGGGAAATGTCTCAGCCTTGTTAATGAGATCATTAACTTCAAACTATTTGTTAATAAATTATTTATTTTTTCGTGAGGCCCTTAGCTCTATATGCTGTAATAACATAAAATTTAATAAAATGAATTTATTTGAAAATATGAAAGTCTATATTGAAAAGCTACAGCATTAAGATTGAGAACATAGCGACGCCTTGCTTTCTGTTATAAAATAATTATTATTCATCATGCAGCGCAGAAGTATTGCGGTTTGTGGTGCCATGGTGCCTAACACTAAAAAGCATATAATATAATATAAATATCTCTCACTGCCTAAACTATTATCCCCCTCAGTACAATATTTAATTGCCTCATCGTGAAAGAAAAGAAACGAGAAAAGAAGAAGAAGAGAGGGAAAAGAGAGGAGACAGGTTCCTACATGAGGTGCTGGTTGGGTACTCATTGGGTATTCATGCTTTACTCGGACGGGCTTCGCCCACCAACGCCCTTCTAGGATTCCGTAACCACATATATACATCCATTTTCATGCTTTTTGAATGCAGTCTGCCAGGGACTAATGGCCTTTAGGCTTGTTGTCCTTTGTTTTGATTCCAACTTTTAAGTCGCATATTAGAATTTACTGTATTCGTAGTGTGGTTAAGTGATGTACACTATATAGTGAGGATTGCAGTAATAGAAGATATATGATGATCAACAATGTAAATCAATTTATTTCTCGATGATGAGTACTCACGCATACTCACCCATAAGGCCATGGGTGTACCCATACCCATCCATACCCATTGGGTATGGGTGGGTATGTGGGTGGGTGTGGGTATGGGTACCCTGTGACGCCCTAAGATGTAACTTGGAAAAATTATTCTTTTAATCCATTAAACCATTAACCAGCAGAGCTATCTATAATCATCAATAAGTATTAAATAGTCTAACAAAAATTCTATAATTTAAATCATCATAGAAATATTTCTATTCATTCTCAAAAGTTCATTTACAATGCTCAGGATTTACACAATAATCACGATTCCATACAGTCCTGAGTACAAAAGAATAACTATAACAAAAAGGAACAAAAACCTGAAGAACTCAGATCAACCTCCCACTCCTGCTCCCTTGCCCTGACATGAAAATATTAACCACATATAATGAGCTTCAAAAAGCCCAGCAGGTCAACAAAAACCTACAACTGAAATCAAAGCACGTACTGAAATAATATGCATGCCAATCAGTCAAATCAATAACAGTCACTTGCACATGATCATTGAATCTATGCAGATACAAAAATCAGTAATCAATGCATAATCAATAAAATCCACATTCATCGGTAGAAGAATCGGTAAACAGTAGAAAAATCTATAATGCTCAATAAATCAGTACATAAGTCAATTCCATAATATCTTAAAACATCGGCCAAATCCATAGAGAAAAAGCATCGTATCAGTAATATCAGTTAAATAAATATCGTATCAACAATATCAATCAAATCATTGAATAAAGAAATCATCTCTGGTCAATAATATCAATCGATATGAAATCATATAAAATAATCAAATCAATATATCGTAAGAACAGTTAAAATCGAATTAATGCAATAACTGCGTATTCTATCACGTGCTCGGTGTATCACATGTAGCAGATCAATATTCGGTGTATCAATGAATCTATAATATCAATGTATCAATAACATCAGTATCCGTAGTATCAATGAATCATTGCAATATCAATATCAATATCAGTATCTGTATCCAGTGACATGTACAATATGCAATATCAATAAAATCATGCAGTAACAATAAACCCGTAAATCCGTCAGTAAATCCATTCATCAATAATCAATTCAATATCAATAAATCCGTCGATATCAATAAATTCGTACGGTAATTAATAAATCCATAAAAAATCATATGAACAATACTTTACACATGCATTCCAATACGATAGTCTTACTTAACAAGTACAATCACTGCCTATTAAGGCAATTTTCAAGGTTAATATCAATATATCGTTGTATCCGTTGGCTCAATAATAGAGTCGTCACTCTTCACCCGTCGGCATAATCTCCTTATGACTCTCAATCGTTATATCACGTGATTAATAGAAGATAACACCAAACCCTTTTTAAAGGAAAGCCCGTCGGCCCACCATCCTGTACAGGTCAATCAATCTCCAACCAACGGTTCAACCAGTCTTTACTTGTCTTTCAGTAATATAACAGTAATTTCAATCATATATCCACATTCGTATACATCTCATTAATACATTGCAATCAACAAATACAATTTAACTCAATTGAAGAAAATCCTTAAAATATCATACAGTCGACATAAATCCCAAACAGAATCAAAATACACAGTTTCAGAAAATTATCAAATTACTAGAAATCGGATAACACATCATTTCAAGACTTTACTTGTACTAAAGCAATATTTTTCAACATCCGGATAATTTTCTATTCGATAAAAATCTCACAAAATTCAAAATATCAAGTGAAAATTTTCCAGAAAATACTTAAATCGTGCTAAATCATCATTTCTATAACATACCAAAATTTATGCGGTAAAAGTTTCGTCAATACAAAGATATACAAGAGTTTCGGTAACGGAAACACAAAACTGAGTAGAAAAATACGAAAATATGAAATCTTCGAAATCAGAAATAGTATTCAGATTCCTTACTTCGAGACAAACAATTCTTCCAACAGCAGCGTCAGACGAAAATCTCATCGCGGCCTCCGAAACTAAGCCTTTTCCTTCTCTTTCTCTCTCTTCAAAAATATTTCAAATCATCTATTTAATGAACTTGATCGTCCCGACGATGTTTTCCATTCGTCCTGGGACGAAACTCTCTGGACATAGATCGTACAGACAATGATGGATTTCGTCCCTGGACGATGCTTTCGGGCAAAAATTCGTCCCGGACGAACTCAGGTTCGTCCAGACGAACCTGCATTTTACTCAGTTCGTACAGGCAGTTCGTCCGTACTATCCATACAGATTTTCACAATTTTCTTCAGTTCGTCCCGTACTAAGGTCAGTTCGTACAGACTAACTGCACTAAAAAATGAATTTCGAAGGGGTTTTACATACCCAATGCAGGGCTTTGCTTATGGGACTTTTTCGTGCATCGCTTATGTTACAAAAATTATTCCCATCATAGTAAGTGAGATCTATGTTATATTTGTATTCAATGATTTTATATTTTTATTATTTTCACTTTTCTAAAATTGATAAAAAAATTGATATATCTTATTTTAGTAAAATTTCTTCAGGTATCTTTTGATAGTGATATATATCATTATTATGAGTATTTTGACTAGCTTATATTGAATTTTCAATGATAGTTTGGTTTATTTGAAAGTCGAGGCCAAAAACATGAAGATTGAGATGAAAGAACTTATGCTCCAGATACATCCAACCATGATATATTGTTTAAGAAATTTCCTAATTTATTACCGTCTCTCATCGTAGCTTTGTCATGCAAGTTCAAAAGTAAGCAAATCACTATTCTCCATCCATTCTTGCACGCAATATCTAGATATATCGTTTGCCCTAGCCTTCATCTCAAATGGACTATCAGAAAACCTAGCAACATAGTCCTGCAATCATGCGGTTGCAATATCAAACAAAACTTTCATGGAGTTGCCATAAGCCAATGTATCATGATGAAAACTAAAAATAAATTAAGGAGTCAACTATTTTACAAAAGAAAAACTATTGAAAATAACTCCATCAATGTTCATCTCCTTTTACATATGTATCACTTATATAGAAAAGCTTCAAGGAAGTAGTCATAAAAAAGCTAAAAAAAAAATCTATTTATACAACTCTGTTCAAACTAATACATTACATTAAGAGTTGATTGAACATCACATCTTTACAGCTCACCTAACATGATAGATTGCTGCAACTAACAACATCATAGTAATGAACGAGGAGATAAAACATATAGAATTCTATGCTCTGAATGATAATTTTACAAAGAATCCATAGTAATCAACAATTCTCAGTATTCAATAAATCGCTTTACTGATATGAAATATGATAAATAGAATTATTTACATACAAGATTATTTATGTCTTATTTAAGTTATAAATTTATTTTGGACAAATATATTATTCTATTAATAAATCTAACACCTTGACCCTTATCTCAATTCAATTAATTTAAAATTATATAATAATAATAATAATAATAATAATAATAATAATAATAATAATAATAATAACTTTCAAAATTAATTATTAGTAAATTTCAATCAGATAGTTTTTTTTAAAAAATAATGAGATAGTTTTAAGGTAAATTATAGAATTTATTTGATTTCAATTAAAAAATATCTGCAAACATTGAAAACCCTAAATCAATTTACACAAAAAGAATAATTAATATAATTCATATACCCATAAAATAAATAAATATTAATATTTTTGTTATCCTTCATTTAATAAAAAAAATTTACACTTAAAAGTTAAAAATAATATTCAGCACTTTAAATTAACATTAATTTTAATATTTATTTAATAATTTATTTAAGATAATAAATTATATTCATCCTCAAAGTAGTATTGTAATATAAATATGATATTTCTTTTTATTTTTCTTTTTATCACTGGTCGGCCGTAAATGATGGAGGAGTAAATCTGGACCGTCAAAGTAATTGACGCATTTCTATTTAAATTTTGGCTATTTCATTCTCCTAATTCAACTTATCAGCTCTTTTATAAAATTAGGTTTGGAATAAATTTCTTATTATTTTTTAAAATAAAATTTTAGTGTAAATTTTTTGAATTAAATTTTTTAAATAAAAAAATAATTTACAAAGCATTAAAAAATAGTCCTCCTAAAAAGCCTTAAATGAGTGCAATTGTGCGAGCGAGCACAACAACGAACAAGTGGAGAAGGGCGCCTATGCTCCTTACGGGGCTGTTTGGTTGCACTCATGATTTCATTTCAATTATTTAAATTATTATTTTTCATTATGATTTATTTTATTTTATAACTAATGTATATATATCTAACTTTTTAATTAAATATTTATAGTTATAGCTAATTAATTTTTTTATAAAATTGAAATAAAATTAAAATTAACATAATCTAATATAATTAATAGTTAATAATTAGTTACTTAAATCAATATAATAATTTTCATTAAAATAAATTATAAATAATATTAATTTACATGCATTAATGTCTAATTAATTATTAAATATTAATTTGCTCATTTAAAGTAATTTTTCTACCATTTGCTCCTTTCTTTTTAGAGCCTAAGCCCTACGATTTGCTTTTCCCTTTATTTCTTCGTTGCTGTTCTTCTTCGGCTACTTCGTCGATGTTCAACTTCGTCGCTGTTCGACTTCGCTCCTGAAGGCATTCGCTTCCTGTTGGATCGGAAGTTATGACATTTTGATCGGAAGCCAAGACGGGAGCTCGCTCGCTGCGAAGGTAACTTTCTCAATTTCGCGCGCTTCTTCGGTCAAATACCGTAAATCCGCCGAATCAGAGGATTTCGGAAATCCGGGATTTACCACAAAAAGGGGTAATTTTCCGTCTACGGCGGCTTTCATTTACCTTGAGATTTGGTTTTGCATTTTAGACCGTTTGGCTGGATTTCGCACAAATCCACCTCAAATCGCATAAATCCTGCTACCAAACAGCTCCTCAAGGTTCTTGCTCGCCGGAGAACTCATCTCCATGAGGAGTTCCAACTAAGATGGCTGGTAAACTACCTTCCATATCCTTATGCTCCTTGCATCGCACCACCCTCGCAGCTGCTGGCCTAATCTTGCTATGTTTTTCCTTCTTTTCCATCAGTTCCCTCCGATCTCCCCTTCAAACTCAAAACCAGTACAATTCTCACCCCACCTTCCCCAATGCTCGAGCTGATAACCTTAATCCATCCTTTGATGGATCTGATTTGGTGTCTTCTTCGTCAATCTACCACTCTCCGAAGATTTTCAGCGCGAGCTACGCCGAGATGGTGAGAAGATTTAAGGTTTATATTTATCCCGACGGCGATCCGAATACCTATTATCAGACTCCGAGGAAGATCACGGGGAAGTACGCGAGTGAAGGATATTTCTTTCAGAATATACGGGAGAGTAGATTTCGTACTGAGGATCCTGATCAGGCCGATCTTTTCTTCATCCCCATTTCCTGTCACAAGATGAGGGGAAAGGTGAGTTTTCTCATGTTGTTCCTTGAAATTGATAATTACTTGGTCAATGTTATTAGAGGTCCATTGATGTGTTGTTATGATGGGCTTAACTACTTTTCGATCATTTATGAAGAGCTTAAATGGCCATCTAAAACTTTCCATATATACACTGATGCAAAAGTTTTGCTTAGTCAAATATGATATTTTTAAACATGGTACATGATTATTTTTTTGAGGATGTTGTAGATGCAGAAAATAATTTTATGTTACTATATAAATCTACATATGATGTTATTGACTTTAATTTTACGTCTATATTATAAATCATTCATAAATCTAAACCTAAAATCGAGCAGGTGTCAAAATCTGAATTTGAATATGGGGTCAATCTTGAAACGAAACCTCTATTAGAAATTGAAAATGAACATAAGATTTTATATGAACCTAAGGTACAATTAAAATATTAATCTTATTTTGATTGAAAATTTGAACATCTAATGGAAACTAAATCTACTCTTGGTTATGAACTTGAATTTACAATCCAAACTGATTCTATCCTTGAACATAAAAGTGAAGAATCAGGCTTAGTGTAGTTAATAAATCATTTGAACAATCTAAATTAACTCTTGATGAAGTTTCTAATGAGGTTAATTTTATTCTTGCTTCTTGGTTCCGTGATTCCCAAATTTATAAAATGAGCCTTATGAAGAAATTTAGGTTGCATCAAAATTTCAAAATTTTGTTAAGAATGATTGCCTTAAACACAACGTATTAAACGATTCGTGCATGATCCTTTTATACATTGTGTTTAAGGCAATCATTGTTAACAAATTTTTGGTCACATAAAAAAAGACTTGGTTAGAAAATATTAAAAATTCCCTCTCTTTATTAGATTTAAATGAGAATTTGATTATTTACAGGACACAATGGAGAAAAGGATTCATGGAGTTGACCCCACGTAGTGGGATAAAGGCTTATTGTTTTTGTTATTGTTGATTGTCTTAAACAAAGCTTAAAATTCAAAATTTCGTTTATATGTTCCAATCTAGAATTGTGTAGTTCATTACAATTGTTCTTTAAACTAGTTGGATTAGTTTTTAAAAGAGCTTGTTCGTCCATATGCTTTATCATATTTGTGAGTTTTGTTTGCATCATCATGTATTTTAGGAATTGATTGTAGGTCTTTATTATCATCTTCTATTACTAGACATAAATATTTTAGCATTTGTATTACTCACTTCATATCATTTGTTAGATTTTCATACTTGATATGCATGAAAATATTCTTATAAAATTGACTATCAATTTTGACAATTATAAATCTACACTTGATTTGAACTAGAGATATATAGAAGTCAAAACTATTTGATACTGTAATGATATGTTGAATCATAAAAAGGTTCCTATAGGAACATTAAAGACATTAAATGCTGGATAGACCTTCAAGCAAACGCTTATAAATTGAAAAATCCAAGAAGATTGATCTTAAGTCCAAGTATTAATGTATTCATCTTGACTTCATTTTAGGAGCCTCCTATCAATGCCTTAAAATCTTTTATTTTTTTCATCTCCTACTTGCCACATTTAACATTTAATTAGACAATTTCATGCCTCTTTGGTGTGTGCACAAGAATTGATTTGGAAATTATTAACAATGTGAACTTTACTTTGCTAGTGGAAAACTTATGCTTCACCAAGTAATGATTTTGGAAATTTGTCGTTATAAGATTAAGTAAAAGTAAACGATTACAACGGAGATTAACGAAGTACTTGCAAGCAATTAGCAAAAGTAAGTAGATAAACTAATGGCGATGAAATAATAATCCATGGTGCAAAATCAAGACGTTTCACCTTGAGTTCCTTCCCTCTTTCTTGTAGTGTGTTTAGCGGAGAAAAGGTAGAAGCAAACGGAGTGATGTTATCACAAGACAAGTGAAACGCAAGGCCTTATTTGCCGGAGAAGTAGCCGGAGAAGCCGGAGAAGGAGGAGAAGGTGGTCGGCCGATGATGAACCAATGCCCCTTTGGTCTTTGTTTGTCCATCGTCTCGGTGAAATGAAAGAGTATGCGAGCAATTTAACTTTCCATTGAGTCGTCGTACTCCCAAATTGGATCAAAGAAAGGACATAATAAAATATCAACTTCTCCAAGGGAGGGAATTATGTGGGCTAAAGGGGAGTTAGGTTTTGTAAGAGGTGGATGGAAAATAAATCTGAAATTAATTTCAGATTTTGGGAGGTTTGGGAGGGAATTACATTTGAAATTTGATTTCACACTTAATGTGGCGAGGGCTTAATGAGGAAACAACAAGGGTCAAGCCCAATGAGGGGGCCGGCGGTATGAAGAGGAGGGAGGGGCTTGTGGAGAGAGTTTTATGAGTTTACAAACATGGGAATTAAGAAAGTTATCATGAAATCCAATTTAATTTGAATTTCAAATAGACATGAATTTATGCACTTTCCTAATTAAGATTTGCAAATAAGGAAAGTTTTTGAAAATTGAATTTCAAATTTCAAATTGAGGTAATTACTTTCCTTTTCTCTTGGAGCTAATTTAGGAGAGGAGTTATGATGATTGAAATCATCATAATGGAAGGGTTTAATGGGTGGGCCAGTGGTGGAGTTTGAAGAATGGGCTTCGCCCGGCGGTTATGAGGTCTTGGCCGGCGGTGGGGATGGGTAAGGGTTTAGCGTCAAAGGATTTGAGGATGTCGTGAAGGTGGCCGGTGGATTGGGTAGAGAGGTATGTGGCTGGGGCTTGTGAGGAAGCTAGGTGTCGGCGGGTGAAGGAAAGAAGAAAGGGGAAGAATGAGATAGACCACGAGCCATAGACTCTTCCAATGACTAGTGGGTATTGTGCTTGCCCTTACCTCGGGTTCTCTTTCTTCTCTCTATTGCACACACAAGATGAAGAAGACAAGCATAAAATTTTCATTCAAACATTCATCATCCTTTTACAAAGCATAAGGCCACTATATATAGGCCTCCAACATAAATAAAAGCAAAGTACATAAATGTCCTTAAGGCTACAATAAGAAAACACTCCCCACAGGGGTGAACTTGAAAAAACTGAAAGTAAATTAAATAAAACGCATAAAAAATAAAGACTCTGAATCGTAGCTATCGATCTACGATTCCTTTGCTGGTACACATGACAGAATCTCTGAGCGATGTCCTCATCACTCTTATTTTAGAAGCTATTGTGTCCAATATTGATGGTGGATATCTTGAGTATTTCTATGGGTTGGGATGGAAACTTGCATGCGATAATCCATTGATTACTTTTTCGGTATGCACACAGTTATCTAGATTCTATGCTCAACAGATATGAGATATGCAAATCACGTGTATTAATGACACTTCAAAGTTTTTTGTTTACTAATTTATTTCATTGTAAGCATGCCTTATAATGATGGTGCCTATAACGATGAGATGCGTTCTCTTACATTTTGATTATCTTGATGTCTGTGGTTAATTATTGCAAGATGAGTAGGTTCAATTCTCGTCTGATTGTAAAGTCAACTGTATTCAATTCCCTAAAAAAAAAAATATCTGTTTTCAATTCCCTGTTTAACACTAGTTCCAAACTTCAATGCCAGCATATCCTCCGTTTGTGGTGTTCTGGATCCTGTGGCTACAGTATATGCACTGTAGCAAGACACAGCTAGATGGTTTGCTTCTATGTTTGGTATTATAATACAGAATGAAGTTTGTTATCTGCTGTTGATTCCTATTTTTCGCCATGGGATGCTTTTCTACTTTAGCTATGTTTGGATCCTATTGTTTCCTTGTGCTTTGCTTCGCAACTTTCCTGTTATAGTCGTATTCAAATATTTTATTTGCTTATTGGTAGCTTCCCATATCCTGTTGTCCTGTGATTTAGTGCTACAGTAGGAATTGATTCCGTCTGTACTTGCTTTGGCTGGGATTGAATATTGCTGATCTTGTTGGGATCTGGGATTGTTGAATTGACGTCTTTTATAGTTTCAGGCTAAATCATGGCATTAAAAAAATTACCTGAATTCCCTAGGCATGTCGAACTTCTGTTTGTTGCTCTTATTGTTAGTCTTAATGATAATTTTCGACGGAAACTTCTCTTTGGTGGTTTCTATTTTCATCTTTTTTTTTTCTGCATATTTTGTGTTTTAATTTGTGTTGTAATTGAAATTTGATCAAGTTTATTTTCTGTAGGCTTATTTTTCACAACAGGATATCCTAACTACTGATTGGTAGATAATGCAAAAAAAAAAAAAAAAAAGTTTAAGAAGACCACGGCAATAATAAGAAGGTACGGTGGGGAATAAAATTTTTCTGTTTAATAAATAATGAGCTCGAGTGCAATTAGGGTCAAAATATATGGATGTAAATGCATTTCGTCGATGAAGTTAAGAAAGCACAGTGTAACTTGATAGCTTTAGAAGGGTTAATATTTTAACTGATGATGGTAAAACTCAAGAACTGGTTGGCAATGCTAATAATATCTCTTATATTAATACAGTTAATAATAATCCTTATGTTCAGGGTTTGCATTGACCTGAATAAAATATCACGCATGTGCTAGCATTTTAAACGCCGAAAAAATAATTTTTATAAAATAGCGATCGGGCATATTAATGATGGTTTTTGTGATACGAGGTTTATGTCAAAGGAAAGTGAAATGATATCATGTTCCCGAATAATGTCTCATTTTCATAAGTTTCTAATCCCATATTAATATATTGATTTGGTTAAAATATTTAGTTTTGTCTTTCATTTAGGCAGCCTATTTAATTACTTTTCTATGATGCATATATAATTTTTTAATTGCAGGGCATATCGTATGAAAATATGACTGTTATAGTTCAGGATTATGTTGAAGGGTTGATCAGGAAATACCCTTATTGGAATAGGACCTTAGGTGCTGACCATTTTCTTGTTACATGCCACGATGTTGGTGTTAGAGCGTTTGAAGGACTGCCCTCTCTTATTAAAAATTCTATTAGAGTTGTTTGTTCCCCGAGTTATAATGTTGGATATATACCGCACAAGGATGTTGCCCTTCCTCAAGTGCTGCAGCCATTCCCCTTGCCACCTGGAGGAAATGATATCGTGAACAGGTTAGAATTTGATTTTAGTTTTGTTTGGGGCAGCTTTCTTGTTGCTTCTTAAAGCAATTTTTTAATTAAAAAATTAAAAAATTTTAGCTAAGAAAGTTGCTTTAAGAAGCAAGGAGAAAGCCGTCCCAAACGAAACCTTAGTCTCCTACTTATGCAAGTTCTAGAAAACATCCATTAAATCTTTTGTACTGTCAAGTTTAAGTATTTCTCTTTAGTGCTAACATCCACATTGCAGGACAATCCTTGGATTTTGGGCTGGCCATCGCAATTCCAAGATAAGAGTTATACTTGCACGTGTATGGGAAAATGACACAGAACTTGCCATCAGTAATAACCGTATAAGCAGAGCTACCGGGGAGCTGGTTTATCAAAAACAGTTCTACAGGTGTAAGTTCTGCATATGTCCTGGTGGTTCTCAGGTTAATAGCGCTCGGATAACTGACTCCATTCACTACGGTTGTGTTCCGGGTACACTCTGCTGCATAAAATAGAAGCTTATTGAAATAATTTGTGTTAATTATCTTTTCTTTCTTCAGTATTTCACAGTTGGTTCACATTATCACCTGTGAAATTAAAAGCCAAAAAAAAAAAAAAGTAATTATAGTTTCATAAAATTTTCTTAACTGAAGTCATTATTCGAATCTTCTATTTGTTTTATACTGCAATATTTGGAAGGTTTTATATGTGGTTTAGTATTTTTGTAATTATAGTTTATTTTTTTAATATTTTGCAGTTATCCTTTCTGATTATTACGATCTACCCTTCAATGATATCCTGGACTGGAAGAAGTTCTCCCTTATTGTTAAAGAGAAAGATGTTTACCAGCTTAAGACTATACTCAAGTCTGTAGCAGACGAAGGATTTATTGCATTGCACATGGGACTTGTTGAGGTATGCTCATCTAATCATCTTTTACTCTGTATAATTAGTAGGCACCTAATGCAATCTACTAAGACTTCGTTTGGAACAGTTTTCATACTGTTTTTTTTAAAATGGTTTTTTAGTAAAAAAAAATTCAAATTCAATACATTTTTGTACTAAAAAGCCGTTTTAAAAAGCAAGAAAAAACCCATCCCAAACGAAGCCTAAAATTTGGAAAAAGATGCTGTGGAGGCTGTTTTTTTCTGTGTTCTTGATGAATCATGGAAACTTCAAGCCTGCAGTTTATTTTTTATTGCTATTTTATACATATGGTTTATCAAAATTTAATTAGCATCTATTTTTTTATCGTTATTTTTATCAATTTCCTAACGAAATCAGATCACTAAATGTTACAGGCCCAGAAACATTTTGAGTGGCACTCTCCTCCCCTCCCTTTTGACGCATTCCACATGGTAATGCATGAGCTATGGTTGCGCCATCATGTTATTAAGTACTAATTTTAGAATAGAAGAAGGATTCCCAAAGGCAGGTTGTCAACAATTTCCAGCATAGCATCCATCCATCTACAGCCACATGTTTCGGCGTAGAAATCCAGCGAGTTGATTCCGGCGAGCCCGTCGATCTTCAATTCCTTGTTTGTGCGAGTGTTTGCTTGCTGGCAGCGGGAGCCGAGTGTATGGTTGACAACCATACGGTCGGTTCCCGCTACCACAAGAAAACACTCGCACTGGTTGGCCTAAATGCACGAATCTTACAAAAGAACAAAGGTGGTAGCAACAGCATGTGAAAAACTAGGTAGATATCCAGTATTTGTGATCTGATGTATGGCCGGGTAGATCAAGTTTCTTACGCTTTTTTACTTTGCAGCGTTCTTTATGTTTTTTTCTATGTGAACAAAAACCATAACATAAGCTTCTCAAAACACATGACAAGCTTAGGCTGCATTTGGGCCGGCTTTTCTATTACTTCTTAAAATAGTTTTTAAGTATAAAAATTAAAAAATTAACTAAAAATTTGTTTTAAGAAACAATAAGAAAGTCGACTCAAATAAAACCTTAATAATGATATAAAAATTAGGTTTTGTTTGGGGTGATTTTTTGTTGTTTTTAAAGTATTTTTTAGTATAAAAATTTAATTTTTTTATTAGAAAGTTACTTTTAGAAGCATTAAAAAAACGTCTCAAATGAAATGTTAGTCATGATGATGAAATAAATATTAAAAATATTTAATTATTTATTAAATAAATAATAATTATGCAAATATGTGAAAAGGGCAAATTAATTTATAAATATATAATACACATGAAATATCTTATATAATTTTGAATTCAAACAGTCTAGAAATGGAGAAATTATTCTGTACGTAATCCGAACGCGTTCGGATGCTGCGTATTTACTGCTTATTGTGTTGCATATTTTTTGATATCAAATTTTTTCGTGTCAAAAAGCAACACATAAATAATACTCACTAAATACACAATTAATACGCAAAAAATACGTAGAAAATATAATGTATTAGAAAATACGCAGTAAAATAAGCAGTAAATACGCAGCATCCGAACCCAATTCTGTGTTCGAACTGCGTACAGAATAATTTCTCCTAGAAATGTTAGAAGAGCAGTTGCTCATGAGGAACATCATCATTTGCATCGTTGAGGAAAGACGGTGAGTCGATGTCTAAAGTTTGTTGGATTGAATGGAAGGGCCGAACATTGACTAATCAAAAAACAAAGAAGATTGAAAATTTGAAGGGCTAGGGCTTTTGAATTTTATTTAATAAATTTAGATTTTAATTTTTTATGTTAAAATGATTTTTTAGGCATTACATATTAACTGAATTATAATAATTTGATCATTTTTCGGAAAAATTATTCAGTGCGTAGTCTGAATGTAGAGTTATGTTCGAACATGTGAGTGCAAATACTCTGTATAAAAATAATGATACACAGTATAAAAATATTGTGTACGCTCACAGTCTGAACTCCGCACAACAAAACAAGAATTGGTTTATTGGTTCAACGGTCCAATCTCCGGTTCATGTTGGTTCTTCCTAGTATTCCATAGAAATAATTATAGCATCGAACCGGACAAATTGGAGAACCATTTTCTTAGTCTTCGTTCCATATGATTCTCTGATTAAGAAGGAAATAGTGGTGTAGCTTTTTGACTGTGAAGTCATAGATCATTAAGAATACAAAATGTGTTTGTCTAAGTGAAAGTTCAGGAAAGCTTCCCTTTGGAAATCGTGTTGGAAATCAATTATTTAATTTTTATGCTACCTTCAATCTTTTTTTTCTCCTTCTTTTTTATCCTTCAAATATTAATTTTATCTAAGTGACATGGGATTCGTTTGCGACGACTTTCTTGCTGCTTTTTGAAGCACGTTTTTATGCAAAAATTAAAATTTTTATATTTAAATTGATTTAAAAAGCAGTAAGAAAGTCATCACTGAGGAAGCCTTAGCCTCAATTTGATAGATATTTGAAGTAATAATATCGAAAGCGGCTTAAATAACTTAAAAAAACTGTGTAGATTTTTTATTTTTATATCATAATTAATGAATTAATAATAACTTAATTAAAATTAATCTATTAAATTATAACTATATAAATCTTTTATCAAATTATCACATATATCAATTTTAATTTAATTTTATTAAATAATTATCTATTTTCTTTGATAAAATAGTACAATATAATACAATGCAAGATAGAACCTTCCCAATTCCCATGTTTTCATCCAACTATCACATCCAACATTTATGTCTTTCACATCAATGTTTCTTTATGTAGGTCTGAACTCATAAAAATGATTGATTTTCTAAGTCTTTGCCGGTAGAAATATACATTAAAGGATAAAAAAAAAGACCAGTAGGTTGACCTGACTATATCCAATTCATGCTTGCCCTCTCAAGAGTACTATAAAAACAAATTTAGCTTCAGAAAGAAAAAAAATCAAGTGCATAGTTGCTTAGTTTCTAGTTTCCTTACTCTCCTTGCCCAGCTGCTCTGAGACTTGCAAGGAAAATCCCAAGCTGTGTGCTCCTCCATGGCGCCTGCTGCAAGCTTTGTGTTTGGCATACTCTTACTTCTTGTTCTGAAAGGTTACAAAATTACCTTTTGTACACATAAAGTTAACAGATTTTTAACATTAATTATATGTTACATGTTGTTGAAGATACTACATTCCCCCACTTTATTTATAGATCATCTTTAGTTGATTCAAATTATTTGAGATCAGCTTTCTGAGTACTCATTTTTCTTTTTTTTTTTTTATACGAAGCAATGATCAAGGCATTAACTTAGATTTCGCTTGTGACGGTTTTCTTACAGCTTCTTAAAACAGCTTTTTATAAAAAATTAAAAATTTTGTACAAAAAAGCTGCTTTATGAAGTAGTAAAAAAGCCGTCCCAAACGAAACCTTTTTCTGCATAGTTTGTTTTGAATTGCTAATCCTCGAACGCTAATTTTGTCCACTAATCTAATGCATGGACATGTTGAAATAATCTAAATCATTTTTAATTACCTTTTTTTAATCTATATCACTCAAATTATTCTTATAACATAGTCAATCATTCTATTATTTATCTTCTCTTATTTCAACACTGCTGTTACATCATAATAATTAATATTTTCTTACTATTAAATACTTGAATTGTCACAATACTACTACTTTGGAATTGCAGGGAATGGAGAGTACTGTAAGATCTCAAGCATCAAATTAGAGATTAGAAACACAGGGATTAAGGTTGGTTCAGACCCTGTGTTTGAGGTAACAGTAAAGAATACTTGCAGGTCCAAAGTGATGAGGCTGTTCCTGAGATCTGAAGGATTTGCAAGCTCAATGGAGGTGGATCAGAAGCTATTCAGAAGGGAAGGAGATGACTATATTGTTAATGATGGAAAAGCCATACAAAGCTCTGAATCTGTGAAGTTTCTTTATTCATGGGATAGGGCATTTAGGATGTTTCCTGCAGCCTTCCAGCCTTCATGCTAATAATGATGGAGTAGGATTGGTTTCGTTTGGAAAAATTTTCTTATTGTTTTTTAAAGCAGCTTTTTAGTCAATTTTTTTTCTAAAATGCTATTTTAGAAAACAGTGAAAAATCAGTCCCAAGTAAAACCTGAATGTTATTGAGATAAAGGGTGAAATGTATCAAATATAGTATATTTGATTCTGTGCTGTATTACTTGATACTAAAAAAAAATCAGCTCATGAACAATCTCTGAATGAAATCCAGCTTGATTTTATCCAGAACTCGCATCCATAGTTTCATAATCACTTTTAAGAAAACTGTGGTATAAGAAATAGACTTAAAAAAGCGAATTCCAGATACATTTGTAAGAAAAGCACATCAAATTGAAGAGATACAAATGCATATCTTCAAATTAATTGTATACATAGCTAACATCTGCCACTTGAGAAAAAAATTATTTTAACATCTATAAATTAAAGTTCTACAATCTTGCCAACTAAAAGATCACCTACTGTTCAAGTCCAGCTCCCCAGCGTCATGCTGCCACTCTTGCCCTGCAACATCTCCATTTTCTTGCTCATTTTCATCATTCAAAAAATCCTCTGAAGGGTCCTCATCTCCATCTCCCTTTGGCACAATATTCTCCCAACCTTCACCCATATCTTCCCCACTGCCTCCCTGCTGCTGATGCACCATGGCATTGCTGGAGCCAACATCGCCGTGCGAAGCTGCAGCATTTGCTCGAATGGCTCGTGGCGGCATACGAGCAGCCATTTCAGCTTGTGCCTGTGCCTCTGCTCGTGCATGCTCGGCTTGGGCTACTGCCATTCTCATCCTGGCCTCTGCGGCCGCAGCTTCCCTTCCAGCTTTCTCTCGCAGCTCAACCTCAGCGCGGAGATTCAACAGCATTTGCTTCTCCTCTTGAAGAAGAGCCTGCTCTATCATGAGCTTCTCCTCAGATCGGAACTCCCCGAGATTCCTCTTCTTGGACATGATGTTGAAGGCGAGGACCTGCTTATCGAAAGTAGCGGTTAGCTCCGCAATCTTTGCGAGGATGTTGTGATCCCATTGCTGGAGACGAGACGGGATTTGGCCAGTTGTATCACTGTCAAGTATCCTGTCATCTTCCTCTGCCTCATAGTCAGCCACAACATGATAGGGTAATAGCCTGAGAGATTAATACAACATTAAGTAGGTGATAGGAAAAGTAAGACAGTAAATGGTGCAATGTCAGAATAGTTTTATACTGATAAAGTTTGCTTGGAAGGTGATAGAATTCAATGGCCTTAATTTAATGGGATTAACCAAGTAAAAAGGTAAAGAAGCAAATATAAAATGAGCTCTGATGACCAAATGTATGAAAAAAAGGTCGAATTCCCTTATGCTAATACTTAGATACAATCGGTGGTGCAGAAATGAATGATCTAATAAAGCATTTATTACTCAACGGCCCAATATGTAAAAATGGGCTAGTTGACAACCAAAAGTACAATTAGAAGATGTTGTAGCATAAAATTTCAAAGAGAATATAGCAATTCGGTATTAAGAAGCAACCACACTTAACTATTTTTCTCTGGCATAAGCAATTTATTATTTAATTTTATTTGGGAGGTTCTTCTATTATAAATAGAGATCTAGTCGTCATGTAATAGTTAGATAAAATAATTGTGATAATTTAATCAAAATTAGGCTTTGCATGGTTTTTCACTCCATGCTGTGTAATAGGTTTCTTCTTCCCCCCTTAACCTTGCAATGCCTCTTTTGTTTTTACTCTAAATTTATTGGTATCAAAGCAAAATTTTCTGCATTCCACAAAAAATTGATCTTGCAATCTCCTTAATCATCCGTCTTCTGATAGATATTAAGGTAATTAATGGAAGATGTTCATCTTCTTCTTGTTAATGACCTTAATTTTGCATTCATTCTCTTCATCGTGTACCTGATAGGACTTGATGATCAAAACAACACAAAATAATATAAAAAACAACAAACTTACAAAAATAGATCAAGAAATAACACCAAGGGAGCTGTATTTACTAATCTTCAAGCAAATAAAGGCAAGATACAAGTTGATTTAATATTCGAGAGGTGAATCGTCTCTCACACAATTCCCAACATCCACTAGGAACCCAAACACCCAACAAAAATAACTGCAGAAAATAAAACTCAACATAAGCCCTAAACCTCCACAATTTCCCCCCTTAAACAACCCAAATCCCCTAATAAATGTCCCTTATATCTTTCCCAAATAGCTCCTCGCAAAGCCTCTTCTCCTATCAGGATCCACGAGTGTATCAATTGGTTTGCATCTTTGCATCTCAATTAGTTTTAAATGAACAAGAATATATTTGTGTACAGTGACAGTGATACCTTTGGGGATCTAGCAATTTCCATTCCTAAGAAATGATTTAGGTTTCCCAATTTTTTGTTATCAAAGTTCTTTACCAAAAATTATTTTATGGTTTCTATATATCACTAAAATTTCAGTACAATATCATCCATATATATAACTAGGATAGGCTATTTTCCTCAAGTAGATTCTATTTATAAACAAATTCTGGTCAGCTTAGTATTAAGTATACCTATAATACTTGACAACTTTAGAGAACATATCAAACTGTGCTCGAGGACTTTTTTAAACCATACAGAGATGTATTGAGTTTGCAGACTTTAGGTGGGAATTTGGAATGGAATCTAAAAGTAATTTTAAAAATATATATCATCCTCAAGGTCTCCATTAGGAAAACTATTTTTAACATCATGTTGATATATTGGTCAATTATTATTAGTTGTTAGATGGACTCAAATAGTGTTAAGTTTAATAACTTGTGCAAAAATATCTTAATAGTCTATACAAAGTAAGTATATCCTTCTGCAACAAAGCTGGCTTTGGCACTTACTATATTCCCACCAACTTTGTATGTGATAGTAAATAGCCATCTGCATCCAATAGGTTTGTTTCCTAGGGGTAAATCAGAGAACTCCCAGATTTTGTATTTTTCTAGTGCTTGCATTTCTTCAAGTGTATGTTTTCATTTAGGAAAGTCGATTGCCTTATAATGGATTTAGGAACTTGTTCTTAAGTGAGGTTGCTAAAGAATGTCTAGAACTTGGGTGAGAATTAAAATAAAAGAAAAAGATGTGAACTGGATGGCTGGTCAAAGTTCTTATAACTTTCCATAGGGAAATAGGTTTTTTGAGGTTACACAAAAAGTCACTATCGAAGAGTTTAGTATCCTTGTTATCTTTTAGTGTTCCTGTAGAGACTTAATCAGGTTCAGACTCCAGGTCATGCTTATGTGCAGGATATACCGTGGTCGATTCCTTCTAGAATACAACATCATTTTTTTATTATATTATTTTGAGTGGAAAAGGTGTGGGGGACAACTTGAATGGGAGATTTTTAATGTCTTCTTGTAAATTAGGATTAGTCATACAAATTTCGAGGATATGATTTCAAAATTAATATTCCCTGGCTAAGGTTTCCCCTTGAATATCACGTTGGGGAATGAATGATTGTTCAAAGAAGCTTGCATCCACTGAGTGGTAGAACTTTTTAGTGGTAGATGAGTATCATTAACATTGTCGTTGCTAGGTCGCAAGCCTTGGATGAGACAAGTAGAGGGTTGCGTTAGGTAGTCGACAACTATTATAAAACTTGCAAATAATCATGACATGAATCATTTAATATATTGTATTAATGCTAGGATGTTCCCTATAAGTGACGCGTTGTATGACCTAAATATATCGAGAAGTGTGCAAGAGCCACCGCATTGGCGCTCGGGTGCAATGTTAAATAAGCAAGGGTTCCCACATCATGAATAGATGTGGGCAAAGAAGATAGTCCAAGATACAAGAATTAGGATAAGAACTTGGAATAAAGTTCCCTTAGAGGTAAATTAATAGAATAATGTGAACTATAATTCATACAACTACATCAAACATTTGTCCCATTACGTGGGGTCGGCTACATGAATTATTTTTCTCCATTGTGTCATGTTAAAAGTCAAATTCTCGTTTAAAATTAATAAAGAAAGTCATTTCTACTATTTTCTAACCAAGTCTTTTTAGGTCTACCTCTACCTTTCTTAAAATAAGTCAAATCTTACACCTCTACGTTCCTAACCGGGTTATCAGGGCCGCCGTTTTATATGACCAAACCATCTAAGATGACTCTCTCTAATCTTATCTTCTACTGGAGCTACTCCAACCTTTTCGCGTATATGCTCATTTCATATCCTATCTCTAAGGGTAAAGCCACTCATTCACCCGAGCATCCTCATCTCTGCAACACTTAACTTAGTATTACGTTTCTCTTTTAATGGCCAACATTCGGCCACATAAAGCATTACAGGTCTCACCATCATTCTATAAAATTTTCCCTTAAGTTTGAGGGAGTTGAATGAGAAGACAAGATAATTAGTGAACACACTAACTAAGAGATGAATAAATATTAATTTTATGCAAGAAACTAAATTAAAAGGTGAAAAAATTCAAAGAACTTGGGGAAGGTTATAAGTTGTGTATCTAGGAAAGATTATTAATAGAAATAGGTTTGAGATAGTAGTTGAGATAGAATTGAATGATAAATTATGGAAGTGAATAGAATTAGTAAAGGGGTGATTGTTATCAAATTGATTTTTAGTAGATATTATAAATATGAGTAGTCTTAGTCGTCCATTTAGGATCCAAATATTTGAAAAACTAATTTTGGAAAGGAAAGAGATGAATAAATTATTACAATGTACATCTAAGAATAAAAGGATACTTACGAATGTTGACTTAAATGGATATCTTAGTTATAGTAGACTGTGTTATTCATGAAGAGATAAGATATAGAAAAATAATGCAAGTAGCAATATTTGGTTAACAATAGCCTATGATGTTACAATAGTGAATGTATATTTTAAGAAACTAGAAGAATATTTAACTAAAATTCAAAAATGGAACCAACAAATCATAAATAGTTATATTTTTGAGACGAAGGCTTCTTTTTTTGTGCAAAGTTTATAAGATGATTCTTGGAAAATATTTGACAATGCAATATAGAGTAAGAGTTATTGCTTCATAGATGTATGCCTAAGAGTAGAAAAAAAATATATCAAAAGAAATAAGTGATGACATTGTTGGAATTTGAAGAACAGAGTTTTGTTAATCTTTCAGGATAGATTGCTTAGAGAGGTAAATTGAAATTCTTAAGTTGAACCGAATGACTTATTTAGAAGATTGTTAGATTTTTAGAAGTCCTAAAATGTATCACACGTTAGTAAGGACGCTTGATGGTGGAGAGAGGAGGGAAAAAATATTATTATGAATTAAAAAATGTTTTTAAAGATTGTCAAAAGATAAATACTACGAAGGCTTTTTCATTGTTGAAAAAATTTTAATGTGATACAAATGTAGATCATGAACCTTTTAGCTCCCCTGTGGGCAGTGGCGGAGGCAGAAATTTTATTCAGGGGGGGCCTAAATTAAAATAATTTTGTTTGCTGACTCATTATAGGGGGGCTCTCCGTTTGGAGTTTTACTCAACATTCTTTAAAATATTTTTATTTCAGGTAATTTAAGTGAGTTTCAATTTCAGCTAAAATATTTTTGAGATTCTTCAAAATAAAATTTCAAATAAAAGTCGAAGATTTTCGATATATATATATATATATAGAGAGAGATTTTAATTAAAAAAAAGGAAATGCATTAATTGTATAGCATAAATTTGAATAAAAATATAGCTTAATGATATCAGAAATCAACGATCTTTATCTCGTTGGATTCGTCTCGTCGAGCCGCTCAATTCGACTATAAGCAATTAAATTTTGGAAACTGTTTGATCATTATCTTATTTTTCTTTCCTTGGAAATTAGCCCTGTGTTATTTCAAGATTTTATTGGAATATTTTTTTTATTTTTATATTGTTGTGTGTTTCTTAAAGGATTCATGTCATTATTGTTCGACAAGTTTTACGCTGGCTGTCGACTACCTAACGCAACCCTCCACTTTTCTCATCCAGGACTTGGGACCTGGCAACGGCAGAATTCAAGTTGGATGGTTGAAGTGGAGGAATGCATCGGGCTTGTTATGTGATAGAAATGTACCCCTCAAACTTAAGGGAAAATTCTATAAGATGGTAGTGAGCCCCGCAATGCTTTATGGTGCCGAATGTTGGCCTTTAAAAGAGAAGCATAATACTAAGTTAAGTGTGGCAGAGATGAGGATGCTCAGGTGGATGAGTGGCTTTACCCTTAGAGATAGGATACGAAATGAGCATATACGTGAAAAGGTTGGAGTAGCTCCAGTAGAAGATAAGATTAGAGAAAGTCGCCTTAGATGGTTTGGTCACATAAAACGGCGGCCTTGCGATGACCCGGTTAGGAGAGTAGAGGTATTAGATTTGACTTATGTTAAGAAAGGTAGGGGTAGACCTAAAAAGACTTGGTTAGAAAATATTAGGAATGACCTTTCTTTATTAGATTTAAACGAGAATTTGACTTTTAATAGGACACAATGGAGAAAAAGGATTCATGTAGCCGACCCCACGTAGTGGGATAAAGGCTTGATGTTGTTGTTGTATTGTTGTGTGTTGTTTGATCATCAAGTCATATCAAATTGGTATCAAAGCACGATTCATGATCTATGGCGCTGAAGAAAGTGGAAGCTTTGGAAGAAAAATTAGAAGAAGTTGTCAAACTCAAATCTAAAGTGAGGAATGGATTTCATCCATGAAAGGAAGATTTTCTAACCTAGAGGATATGATGAAGAAAATATTGGAGCTTTACACTCAACCGGCAACATCGGAGGAAAAAGCACCAACGGGTGGCTAAGGAAGTGGGGAAACCCCAAGGTCGTCACAATGGGGGGTGATAAAGAGGTAGAAATCTTGGGCGACAAGGAAAATATGCCACCTCTTGAACAAATAACTAGGAGGGAAAACTAGGAGGGAAATGGGCGAAGGATATGACATTAGGAGAAATTGGGAGGAAGAAATGAGGAGGGCTGATTTTGAGAAAGAGGATATCTAAGAATGGAGGAAGGTGGGAAAGAACAATGGAGAGATCATAATAATCGCCACATGGGAGGAGCCAGAGGTGGAAGAGAAAGTTAAGACGGAGAGGATTTGAGAGTGAGAAAGCTGAAGATGCCCATTTTTTAAGGGAAAGATGCTCATGGGTGGATCTCTAGGCGGTAGAGGTACTTTGCGGTGAATGGGCTGACGGAGGAGAAAAGACTCACGGTGGCTATGTCTTGCTATAAATGGAGAGACATGAGAGATCCAATCCGACCGTAGAGAGAGTTCAAAGATAGTTCATTAGAAAGTTTTTGAACCAGTCGGGAATGAGACTTCTATGAGCAGTTCTTTGCTCTGATTCAGGAAGTGATAATGATGGATTATCAGGAGAGGTTTGAGTATCTTACTAGCCGATTGGGGAGGCTATTTGAGATAGTGTTGGACAGAATTTCATCAAGGGGCTCAAGCTAGAGATCAAGGCCGTTGCCCGATTATTGAGGCCACGAGGGTTGTGAGAGGCTATGGAGCTAGCCCAATTAGTGGAGGACAAAAACTCACTTGAAAGAAGCAGCAAGGGTAGTAGTTCGGGAGCTTCAAACATGACAACAACTACTTTTTTGGCACCAAAGTATAGCTTGTGCCCATTCAGAGAGAAGTACTCAATGATAGAGGATTGAGAGCACAATCCGGGCGAAATTTCAAATGGATGACTAAGGCGGAGATTGAAGAGAAGCGGGCTAGGGGATTGTGTTTTCGTTGTGATGAGAAGTTCGCATAAGGCCACCACAACAAGGATCGTTCGCTGCAGATAATTACAGTCTATGATGAGGAGGAGAAGACTCTGGAGGAGGAGGTGGTTGAGGAGGAGGAACATTTGTAGCTAGATGTGGCGGAGACCTTCCTGAACTCAGTGGTGAAGTTTACCTCAAATCACACCATGAAGATGAGGGCATAGATAGGAGGAGAATTAGTAGTAATTCTTGTGGACAGTGGAGCGACCCACAATTTCATCTCTAACAAGGTGTTGGATCGATTGGGGCTGAAGCTGGTCAACATGGATTATTTTGGGGTGATGATGGGAACAAGGATGGTGGAGAAGAGTAGAGGTATCTTCCCAGGATTGATGGTGACAATTCAAGAGATCTAGGTGAGGGAGAATTTCTTTCCCTTGGTTCAATTGAAAGCATGCCTAGCCGGGAAAGAAAATAATACAAGGCTGTAGAAAGAGCGCAAAAGCACACTCTCCTTGCTTCTAAAAAACCCAAGTCAAAATCTCCTACACGCATGGGAACCAGAACAAAAGAAGGAGATAGGATCCACCTGCACCGTCCGAAAGGAACCAAGACCAAATTCTCGGCATCTCAGAGCTCAACTCTTCAATTCACATCGAATAGGTTTAAGGTTTCAATGAAGCTTTCTTAAGGAGTACATATGAATTTTAGGCATGAAGTGATTGTAGACCCTAGAGGAGACCAAGGTGGATTGGAAGATATTGACTATGAAAGACAAGGTCTTCATAGTTTGACACTTCATAGTTTGAAAGATCAAGGTCTTCTTGAACTCAGTTGTAGCATTTGTAGAAGACTATGAAATTCATGGTGGGAGGGAGGAAGGCGATGATCAGAGGGGATCCTAATCTATACAAAACAAAGGTTTCTCTTAAGACCATGGTGAGGGTAATCCATGGAGTATGGATGTGATTCTTGGTGGAGCTCCATAGCCTTGAGGGAGGGGGAAGCATGGAGAAAGAGGAGGAGGTTCCACATATAGTCCAACCAGTCCTACAAAAACCCTGTCTTCCCTATTCCGGAACAGCCAAACCGATAAAGCCCAAAATGAAATTCAAAGCACCAAAATCGCAGCCAGAAATTCACAGCAGTCAGAAAAAAGAAAACCCTAAAACTCTTCCATCCGGGGGGGAAAAAAAACAAAAGAAATAAGAAGCAAAGAAAGAGCTTTACATGCGTCCAGCATCGTCAATGGCAAAAATATGAAAAGAAGCAACACAAGAGATGAAAGTTTCAGAATTAAACACATACAACAGCCGATCTTCCGCACTTAAGAACAGTTAAAAACGAGCAAACCCTAATTGAAATTTAATGCACCAAAAAATACAGTCCCGAATTCGCGGCAGTAAAAAAAATTTAACCGACTAAACTCTTCGAATCCGAATAAAATCAACAATCAAAACGAAGGACGAGAAACAAAGAAAGAGCTTTTACCTAAGTACTGCATCCTCGATGGACGAAAACGGGCGCTTGAAGTCGGGATTGCAGACATTCATGACATCCTGGTGCACCATCTCCGCCTCAATCGAATTTCCAGGCCGCAACCTTCCAGGCGCTGCCGGTGCCGTAGCCGCCGGAGGCACCGCTGTAGCCGCCGCTGGGGGAGGCTGTTGGTGCTGCTGTTGCTGATGGTGCAGCGGCTGATGTTGCTGCTGAAGGAGGTGCGGTCGCATCCCAGGCGCGCGAAGATGGGCATCGATGTTGGAAGGAAATCTGGCCATGGCCTGCTGTTGCTGCTGCCGCTGTAAGAGATGGATCTGTTGTTGTCTCTGCTGCATCAGTAGCTGCTGTTGTTGCAGCGCTAATGCCTTCTTCCCTTCCTCCTCCATTACCCTCTCTCTCTCTCTCTCTCTCTCTCTCTCTCTTCGTGCCTAGTGTGGTAGAAGTGGATATTGTCACCGATGTTTGTTCAGTCGGGAAAGTTATTACGTTTATGTGCAGACCAAAGTTATTATTGATGGGAATTTGGGAAATAAATCACATATAAATAAAAAAATAGCTTTATATATCTCATAATAGTAATAATAATAATAATAAAATATATCTCATATATATATCAAAAAAATTACTTTGATTCAAAATATATCATTTTCTATCTCAAATTTTTTTATTACACACTATAAAAAATGACCAAAAAGATCGAGCTTTTGAAATCACTTGAGCAAAGCCTAGATCATGTTCAAACGTTATTTTTTTTTGGGGGAAAATTCTGGGCATAGCCCTTTTCATTAAAATGAATAAGTTACATGTAAAGAAAGGAAATAAAAACAGTAATTAAAGGCCTTGACCGAAAAGCAAAGACCTAAAAAAAAGGAAAAAAACAATACAAAAATTCCCCTTAAAGAAGCACCTACAGAAAAACAACATGTAACTCATTTAAAAGGTTGATAGAGTTGCAGTTCCTGAGCCCATGGCTTCTATGTCTCCCTCTGCCTGTTTTTTGGGTTCAAACATTGTTTGAATACGACTGGAATCTTATTTGAGCAAAGTTCGAAGTATATTTGAAACCTATTCGAATTGGGTTTGAATATAATTTGAACTTGGCTCAAACAATATGTTAACCAAATTCGAATTGGCTTATAACTCAATTGTGATCTCTCACTCCACATTGACTGCACCTATGTTACATTCTATCTTTCTCCGCTGTTAAGGCCTTTTGTTTTCTTTTAAAAACTACTCATTAACTTCACTAATGGGAGTATCACAACAACTCTATTTATTTAGTATGGAATCTCCCAAATTTCCTCATTTTTATTAGATAAATATTTTCAACATATGCAATTAATCATATTTCCTACGTCTCAAGTTGCAAACAGCACATGTTTGCACGAGAGACCCATGTCATAAATTCTTTTATATACGAGTCATCTCCCGCAAAATCAACATCACCATTAATATCATCATTAAGGACAAAATTAAAATTAACTAATGGGATAAATAAACAAACTTTGAGCCTTATTCAAAAGCTTCACTGATCCTTATTTAATTTACCTTACCAAAATAGTCTTTATTTACTTTATAATGGCACTTCGATCGAAGAATCATTTCTATATTCTGTGCCACAAAAACTCCAACAAAGTCAAATCGATTGGAGAGTGCTCTCTTGATAACATTTTTTAAGCTCTATGGAATACTTGTTGTCATCATGTTATATCAATTTACAAGGAAGAAAGTACGAGCACAATAGTTAAAGTCAACTTTGTTCTTCTGATCGGCAGTTATGATTGGACTCTCGATATGTATTTTGGTAATGTGCTTATAGAACTCAAATTTTATAAACTTTGAAAGTAAATGTTATTCCTCATGATAATTATCGGTTTTGAATTCCGTCGTGATATTCATTGCAGCATGATGAGTGCAAACTCTAAAATGTGTCAATATAAAAGTAGTTAATAAAGCCTTGATGATATTTTCATCTATAATAGATATAAACACAATGTTTCTAAAGTGCTTATTAACTCATCTGATTAAATACCAAGTTTCTAATATAATTTTCAAATAAATTTGTACATATCCAAGATCTTGATGTACATTATCATACATATATTTTACAATTTATAACATCATAGATCCAACATATTGCTATACAAAGCAAAATACCTGCATATTCACTAGTCATTGCATCCCTTTACTTTTTCTGAAATCATAGAACATCCAGGAATGAGCCACAAACTCAATGAGATAATTAATTTTAACATAAAGTAAAATATAAAAAAAATAATAATATAAAATTTTTATACTCATATATGTTATAAGAACAATCCAATTTAATTATGTGTAATTAGCTTAATGAATTGGATATTATTTTACCAGATAAGTTATTAGTTAATGGTTGAAAAATTAAGGAATAATCAATATAGTTGTTGTATGAATATGAAATTGATATTCATTTCTTATTTTCTTTCTTTTTTATTCATTTTTTAATAATCACAACTTTGGATAATCAACGGGTGAAACTCCAGCATCACTTGAAGGTTGGATAAAAATCTGGTGTCACATGGAGTTCGGGTGAAACTCCAACGTCACTTGAAGGTCGGACGGGATTCCAGCGTCACTTTGGAAGTCGGGTGGAATTCTGGCAGTGGTCGAGGAGTAATTTCTTCCCTCCTATTCTTCTTCTCTTCTCCTCTTCTTTCTTCCTTCTTCTTGCTTCGGTCCCCTCTAAAGAGAAATGATGGGCTATTTATAGTTTTTTGAGGATGACATGACCCGTAAATAGGAGGATCAAGGGTGAATGTGGAGTGGTTCGGATGGACGGCCAATATTGAATCCTTTGATCGTGGACCGTTAGCAGACATTTGAAGGTCTTAATGATATCAAAATTCGACGATCTTAGGCTCGTTGGATTCGTCTCGTCGAGCCGCTCAATTCGACTATAAGCATGTAACGTTTGGAAACCATTTGGTAATCCAAATTGTGGTTCAAATCTTCCAACAGTGCTTCGGGTCCTTGATTTGGACTCAGATTGAGTTGAATTTGGTGCCGTTGGGTTCATATTTCTAAGACGCTCAGTTCGACTATAAGTTTGCTGAAATCGGAGTCAGATGAACCCAAATTTAAAATTTGAAGTTTCCAACTTGATTTTTTGCCTTGAGATTCATGCCCGAACAAGATAATTTTTTTGATGATATATCACTTCTAATTTAGGTCTCAGAGCATTACGATAGTGATACCAACACACGAAATAACAAGATACAAATAAAAATACGTATTTGCGCGTTGCATGTTATTTAATAATCTTATATTTGTAATTAATAAGTATTAACTTAAAATCATATAAATCAATGAACACATGATAAGTATAAATGTATAATATATATATATTAATCTCTTTGATGTTTTTAATATGCTTATTGTATAAGAATTTTTATGAATGCAATCATTGCAGTTCAGAAGAATCTAAGGAATTATTTGACCAGTAAATTCCAAATGAGTATCTCACCAAATGAATCAGGTATTTATTTTTTCTTTCCAAAACCTTGATCTTTCATGAACACCTTTCCTTCATTCTCTTTCTTGTTCTTCTTCGTTTTGTTTTTTCCTCCCATTGATGTAGTCCCAAAGCTTCTCCTTCTTCTACAAGCCAGCTGCTACAGTACCTGAGCTCTCTTCTACAAGCCAGCTGCTACAAGGTATTTGTTTTTTTATGCAATTTTTTTAATTAAATTTTTTTTGCAAGAAAGTTTATAAAACAGTTAGAAAAGGGTTCCCAAACAAAACCTTAAAACATCCATGAAAAATTGGGAAAAGCACATTTGTTATATTACATTCCATCTAGCTACATTAATATAAAAATGTAAACCTTAAAGAAAATTAATTATATTGACCTCTATAGAAGTTCTAAAGTCGAGTCAACCGTGAATGACAAAAGTGGTAAGCAAAAGGGTGCGATATCACACAAGGGAGGGGCACACAAACCACATTGATCAAAAATCCAAATTGTTAAAATGACGTTACTTCATGAAATGAATTGCGTCATTGCATTCAAAGAAAATTGAAACAGTTAAGACCGACATCCATATTAATTAGGATTATCGATTGGTGAAAATCAAAATTTCATTGGTGCAGATCAAGATGGAATTGATGTGAACGAATGATGATGATTTGACAAGCTAGTCAATGCATAGTTTATAAAGACAAATATTTATTATTAATTTAGAAATTTTAATTTTAATTTAATATTAAATTTCACCCAAAAGGTAATCATGTTGGTCAGTTTGAGTTTTGTTAATGAGGGAAAGAAAAATTGACCGTTAGATGATTTGGACAACTAAGTTGTATACAATTTGCATATCCTGATGATGAAATACTGACAGAAACTTGTTCAAGATGAGAGGTGAAAAATCAATCAGAATAGTTGTTCATAAGTACATGGATAAGGTATAGTCTAAAGAATATTGGGATATCAATGAATCTTATCTCGTTTTGTAGAAGCCAATGGCAGTTTGTAGGACTTGACAGGACCAACCAAAGTTAGAGCTTCTGTGAGAGCTTCCATTAGGTGCTCTGGGTAATCTTCAATAAGCATACAGTGAGGTTGAGTTGGCAACTTACACAGTACTCGGCCAATAATCTGCAAGAATGATCAATAATCATCAATGCCTTCAATATTCTTATATTTGAATCATATACAAACATTGTTACAGAAACTGCCATGGCAGTTTATTTTCCATAAGTAATAAATAAAGGGATCATTTTATATTTAGAGAGTTTGTCCAGGTAACTTAATAACATGACAAAACATGGATGCATAAAAACCTAGTAGAAATCTTATCAACCAGTGAAAGAGTGTGATTTATCATAATAAGTATGATAGTCCGGTTCACCCTGAACCAGCTCAGCGGCCGGCTCATGTCTACAGGAGGCGGAAAGGGGACCGCCTCCTTTAATGCTGTCGCCAACTTGGAGCAATTGGGGGAGGGGATTTGGGAGGCTAGATTGAGAGGAAAAATTTAAATGAGGGTGTTCGAATTAGGAAATTAATTGTATTAATAGGAGAGTTTGTTTTAGGGTTAGGTTTTATGCATGATTTGAGTTTCTCTTGAAGTTCTTGGGTATTTTGGCTCTAGATTGTTTTTTCTAGAGATTTGGGAGAGAACGATCCTCCTCTCAAATTGAGGATCACTTGTATCTTGTTCTCGTGTTTGTTTGGTTTTGATTCTCTTATTGCAATCCAACGTTTTGGGGCTGATTTCGCCCAGCTAGAGATTTGGGAGAGAACGATCCTCCTCTCAAATTGAGGATCACTTGTATCTTGTTCTCGTGTTTGTTTGGTTTTGATTCTCTTATTGCAATCCAACGTTTTGGGGCTGATTTCGCCCAGCCAGAGAGAGATCTCCTTATGGCAAGAAATACTGGTCAATAAGCTAGACAGTCCAAAGGCTCTTCATCTCATTCCAATCAATTAGATGATAACTTTCTTTCAAAAGAAAATTAAAAAGCCTTTAACTTTTCATTGAGTCAAAAATAACTCCTCATCTTCTTGTTTCAAGAAGACATTAATTTTTCTGTAATGCCGCTTTTGATTCAACTAAAATTTCCTTCATTCTCACTCTAATC